ACTGAAAACCTTGGGTGTAAGCATCCATTTCATGGAAGGTTGAGCCTTATCCAAGTCAGTAAAGGTTTTTACAAAGGCTCCTAAATCTTTAATAAAGATTCTCCAAATAACATCACCTTAGTGGGCGTCCCTAGTACATTAGAGCCAAAACTGGTCAACATGGCTTTTATTTTTAGTAGGATCATTTGCCTACGGCTCAAGGTCTAAGCTGTGTTGGTATGCATACATACAAACAAATCTCTGCAGCAGTTGTGCTCTAGATTGAGCAGCCTCCAGGAGTTTATACTTCTTAGCCATCAGCCCCATAGAATCGTCTTGGAATTTTTTTTATTTTTCTTCAAGTTTGGTTTACAACAATAGAATTGAGATGCATTGCTCTTTTCCTGACCATTATTCATGGCAGCATTTACTCATGGGTTAGCTCCTCCCTTCACAACAGAAAGGACAGGAAATAGAACTCTGCAACTGGTATAAATAGATCCTCCTCCTTCCCATCAGGCAGTCTTTTTTCCTGTCCTTCACAGCAGTTTGGAAGGAGTCTGCTTATGCAGGCCTAGATTTTCTTTTATGCTCACCAGGCAATATTTTTGTAGCCTAGCCGGGGTTCAGCCTCTAAGCCCTGAAGACCCAGCAAAGCACTGTTGTAAGGTAGCCAGCCTGGGTACCCCCTTTAGTGACCTGGGGTCGGACCCAACCTCTCCCTAAAGCTAGTATAGGCACCTGGGTCTCTGTTTTTTTTTTTTTCAGTCCCTCCCAGGTGCTTACATTAGGCTTCCTTCTAACAAATAGGTCACATTTAGGAGGTTTGTGTGGTGAGCATTTAGGTAAGTTTTTACATGCTTGGTGCAAAAGAGTGCTGATAATGCAAGGAGGCATTGTGCAAAAGAGTGCTGATAATGCAATGAGGCATTGTGAAAAAGAGTGCTAATAATGGATATGCTGGCTGGATAAGGTCTGCTGGAATTCCACAGCCTGAAGACAGAGTAATATCCAAGGTAAGAAAACTTTCCTGGATGTTTGATTGAAGTACACACATGTAAATGACAGGTTTTAAAACCTAAAAATAAGTCCACACACACTTGTTTTTATCAAGACATGTGGCATTGATTGCTGTTATCTGTGAATTATCGCAAATAAGCAGGCTTTTCCAGAGAGTGGTAGAATTTCTACATATGAGATCTCTGGGCCTCAGTATCTGTACATGAACTGGTTGTGGTACAGCTTCGGTAGGTTTCCACTATATGCTCTAATGTATGAATTGGTATGCTTGATGTATTAGTGGATATGCTCTATGTATGAGTTTCTGTGAGGACACGGCCTCAGTATATGTATCCAGTGGCGTCTCTAGGATTCATTTTTCGGGGGGGCACATGGAGGGCCAGTGACAAAAGTAGGGGGGCACATTTAACCCCGCCCTTGTCGCAGTTTGACCCCGCCCCTGTCGCATGTTAAGCCACGCCCCCGACACAATGTGTTTTGTTTTTTTAATAATACCTGGTGGAGGATTCATTATTTTCCACCAGGGATTATTAAAAAAACAAACACATTATCCTTGATACAGTGCCATAGTTGCCAACATTAGAAAAAAAATTCCAAGGACATTTTGCAGCACAGCTATCAATTACTGTCTGTGTATAATATCCCTGGACAGTCAGTGCTCTCTGTATAATACAGGGTTGTGTGTATAATAAATTGGGACACTCAGTGCTCCCTGTATAGTGCTGCTCTCTGTATAATACAGGTATGTTAGGGAGACACTAAAGCTAGAGAGGGAATAACCCAGCAGAAAAACACCCATGGCACAGAAAACCCAGTGATCATAGGATAAATGCGACAAATACTAAAGTACCCTTTGCCAGAGAGCAGACAGGATTGAGTAACCCTGACTGCACACTCTAAATGATGTAAATGGCAAACCACAATATGCATGATACAAGAGAAGGAGTCTGTCACCAGAGGGATACTGGTCTGAAAGAGGGGACTGCTCATGATGTAGAATTTTTACACAATTTGGGTCGAGTGAGGCTCTGAGCATACCTAGATATGAATGTCACCAAAAATATGTCTGCCGCGTTCTCAATTGCACACGCGCGCTGACCAAGAAGGAAAATGGCCGCCACAAATTTCAGGTTTGCTTGCACGGCAACCCAAAATAAGCCACAGAAGTAGCCAAGGTAGGATAAAAAGAATATACCAAATTAGACAAATTCTCCAAATGTAACTTTAGTAAAGGTTACTGAGAGCAGAGATACTTATCTGGCCTGAGGGAGTGAAAGACGGTTGCTGGGAGTGGGCTGTGATATTATAGATTGTGCCCAGTTGGGATTGTTTTTTATGTTGCTAGATATGGTTTGTTAACTCATTTTTTCCCCCCTCATTTTTTTCTTTGCTGCTGTGGAAATAAAGGAAAATTAAAACTTTATAAACTGAAATTAAATTGTTCAAACGTTTCACAGCTATGTACTGTATATAAATTCAGAACAGATACATTAATGTGTTTATACAATCTATATATCTCAATGTATACTTGTTGAATTTTGAAGATCCTTACAAGTAATCAGAAAAATATGTGCAAATATTTAAATTTAAGAAAGTTGCTACAGTTGCTGAACAAAAGGATGTTGAGCCACTGATGCAAAAATGGGCTAGGTTGTTTACTCTGATTTATGCCCTTTGTTGCCCATCACAAAGAAAAAAATATTTGTAGAATAAAACAGGATTTATTGCATAACTCCACGTTAGACATACTATTAACATCATTTTAAAAAATATTCTACCACAAGATGGCAGAAGAAACCTTTATCTCATTACTAAAAAAGTAAATAGAAGGAACATTAAAATAACTGTTGACCTTTCAGGTCATAATGATGTCCAAGTCCAACTACATTCCCAATCTGAGATTGCACTTTAGATCTTCAGATAAGTTTTAAGATAACAAATACTTGATATCCTAAAGTAATTTGGTACATCACACATTTATTTGAATTCTTATATGAAAAGTGTTTAAACTGCAACTTGTGCCTCCATCTTAGTTCCCAGTCAATTATAGCTATAAGCTCTGTTCTTTGCACCTGGCAGTCCACAAAAAAAAAAAACAACACATCTACAAAGAGGAGAAATTATGTTTCTCTTACTCTTCCTCATTAACATATGCCTTGTTTTTTATCTTGTTCTGAATAGTTATTGGCTAAATTTTTATAGGAACACTATAGGGTCAGGAACACAAACATGTATCCCTGACCCTATAGTGTTAAAACCACCATCTGGCCTCCCTTAATTTAGTAAAATCTTACTTGTATTCAAGTCTGCAGCTGCTGCTTCTGCCCCTGATCTGCCTGCTTGGCTGACATCAGAAGTGCATCTCATGAAAAAGCTAAACAGAACATGTTTTAGCCAGTTATAAAATCCAAAATAACAGTTCCTCTCTATTAAGGATTTTTTCAACACAGGTTAAATGGACATGCTTATCTTTGAATGAGATCATTGCCTCACTCTGCATGCTGAGAATAGCAGGAAAATAGGATTCATTTTCATATTTACCCCTTAAGGGTGGACACTGATCTAACCAAACAGTGTTCTATCCACAGGAATATTTGTTTTTAAAGCTACCAATTTTATTGGGAGGGACATGAGAAAAATGTTTCCCTCTTGCAGGCTCTCTGCAAGGGAAAGCTCAATACGTGCATTGTGCGCTGAAGGATGTATTTTATGCATAGAATTGATATTAGTCTGGAACAGAGCAACAGCCTAAGTCACAAGTGCTGGGGTTTAAGTAGCCCCCCGGACACAAGTGCAGATTACATTGTATGTGCAGTCAGTGGAGGCACTAACAGAGAAGGCCCTGGTGCAAGATTTGTTTGGTCCCCGCTACTGCAACAGTGCCAAAAAAGTAGATCCCTATCTGTCATACAACTTCCACATTGCTTTGCCATTTGAGGATCTACAATCAACCCATCCTTGAAGGGTTGTATCCAGCACGGAGCGTTTGTGTGTTTGAATGTAAGACTTCTTTGTATGGAGTGAATTTAAGGGTGTGGTTGTATGTAGTGTTGGTGTTTGAATGCAGGTGTACATTTTTTTTTGTAGTATTGGCTTTGAATGCAGAGAAACACTGATGCACATACAGATATAATGACACAGATACACTAGTTTCCTGCCTTTTGTGTGCAGGAGGATGGTTCTGCTGGCTGAGACCAAGGCTATAAGGAATCCTACAAACGTATCGAACATGAGCATGTAATCTTAAGTCACCTGCGCACACCACAGTGAGGACATGTGCACTCTACACTATGCCAAGTCAGTGACATGTGAATAAAATTCTACACCCCCCGCCACAACATTATATACAAACAAGAAAAAGGTAACAGTGTGCTCAGTGTAATTTGTTCTGTATGTGGTTGAATTTATGTCATATGTATATGAAGACCAATACTATGCATTATTACATATTGATACTTGGAACTATGTATCCTTCATAGTTCCCAGTGTAGTGGTTAAGGCTTACACGCCTTTGTCAAACAGGGGAATCTTACCTAGAATTAATATTGTGAGCTCCAGGATCTGAAGGTAGGTTACACTTACATGCCCTAAAGCAGAGGTTCCCAGCAAAGTCCTTGAGTACCCCCTACAGTTCAGGATTTAGGGATTACCCTGTTGTGTCTAAAGTGTTTTTTTTTTTTCTTTTTCTAAGAACACCTTAGACACTGGTTAATCCCTAAGGTTTGGACTGGTAGGGGGTTACTTGAGGAAGGGTTGGGATCCACTGCCCTAAAGCACGGGATCCAAACACTTGGACCAGTAGTAGTATGTTGTAAACTCCAATTCCATCAACTAAGACTACATTAATATGGTTAACACAGTATTCTCCCGTGGGGAGTGGGCGTTGCAAGGATAGAGGATCCCTTTAATGATTTGCAGTTTACATTCACATTTTCCACCCAATTGCAAGGTGCTTTAGAAAAACTAGTTCAACTAGCACAAAACACAAAAGGAATAATATATAGTATTTGATAGCAGCTTTTTATTGGTTACAAAACCTAAGCCCATATACAAAATTAGGAACACATTTTGATGCCTCTTTTGAAAGAACATTTTGTCTAGTTAAACAGAGTTAAAAAAAAAAAGAAAAGAAAATAAAATGCATTTTTTTCAAACACTGTTCTGAAAATTGAAGAGAAAAAAAAAAAGTGCAGCAATATTCTTTTTTTTCTTCTTGTAACTAACTGATGCAATCCCCACCAAAACTTGATAAGGTCACAATGGAGAAAAGCTAACCAGACAATTGGTTAGCGCTTTAAAGTAGTCATGTACACTTTAAAGGCTTTATAATGCAGAAAAAAAAAAGTTAAAAAGGTATAATTTGCAACAAATTCTGTTTTACGGGGTGCATCACCCACAAAAGAAGCAGCACTGAGAGAACAGAGTCTTGGAAAGAAACATCCTCTTCATGGACATAAATACGTTTTATGAATTTCAAACCGCGCATAGAATGTCCGTAGATAAAAAAAAAAAAAAAAAACCCCACAACTAATTTTCATTGAGGCTTAGTCTTAAACAATGTGACCATATCAAGTCCTGGTTTTACTATTTAAGAAAAACAAAAAAACAAAACAATTTTTAACTATATTGTGTTGTGTGAATGGGATGCAGTTACGATATTAAGCTTCAACTCTGAAGGAGGGGGAGAGGGGGAAGAAAAAAAGGCACAATGAACTTCAACTCAATTTTTTTTTTATGTGCACAAGAGTTGAAAACTTTTTGAGCCACCTTAAAGAGAAATTGAATCTAAAATTTATAAAACCTATAAATAATCAGAGGCCAAACCGCTATATTAAAACAAATTCTCTAGCAAGTAAAAATCTTGCAGTTTAAACATACGCTTGTATCATTCTTGGAATACAAGACAAACCCCCCTCTTTAAAGTGGCTCCACCTTGGCAGATATATATTGTAATGAATGCACATCTGCTGTGTAGTTCATAAAGTGAAAGGATTTGGGTAAAGGAAAGCTGATCCACGAAGCTTGGATGGCTTGGATGAAAATCTGTTTTCATTTTCACAGTAAACATGACCCAAGTCTGCTAACTATAGTAGTTTTAATTTAATCTATCCCTTTACATCAATTATTTAGGGACGTCAAGTAAACTGCGTCATGTTACAGTTGCACCATGTCTTTCTTTGACACTTTGACAACTGAAGCTCTCACCACAATCAAAATAAATTTTCAGTTTTTGAAAGCAACAAAGCCATTCACAATGTAACACCATTTCAACATCTTACCAGATTCTAAACAATTTATTAAATGGCATGAACCCCAATTATAGTTAAATAACCCTTGCTTTAGGTCTACAAACATTAGGTGGAGGTTAATAGAATAGCACTGTACAGCTGAAAAGCAAAACTGCATTGCATCATTATCCTAGTGAACCTAGATTTATACTGCCTGTTTGGCCTAGAAATCCATTACTGGGCCCTCAAGATTGAACCTAGGTTCCTTGCTATGCCTAGAATTCCATTACTGGGCCTTCAAGATTGACCCTAGAACCTCGGTTCCTTGTTACGCCTAGAATTCCATTACTGGGCCCTCAAGATTTAAACTAGAACCTTGGTTCCTTGCTACACCTAGATTCCCACTCCTGTCCCCTCACATATGTATGCGATTAAACATGCCCCATTTGATTTTACCATTACGTCACTGTTTTTTTTTACAAGCTTTTTAGGAATAAACCCTTGTGTTACTTAGAATAAAGCTTTCAGGGGTTTCTTCTTATTGAGTTGTCAACCACACTTTCAAAAGCACTGATTACGAAGTATAAATTGTTTAAGACTAAATTACAGTAAACATGAAAAGCTCCACAGTTTGACCCCAATAAAAATTGTCCACCTAGATAAAAACAAAAATATATTATGTCCACTAAAAGTTGAAAGCAAGGTTTAGTTTCCCACCCTACCCAGATAGGTTTTAGGAGTTCCTTTTTTTTTTTTTAGCAAAATATTCTATATTTATTGTTTAGTTTTAGAAACTCTTGCTTTCAGCTTGAAATCAAGTTTATAAATGTCAGGATCTAGAGCTCAGAGTAAATTCCATGCACAGCTTGTTACTCCAAAACAGCAGGAAAATATAGGCTAAAGTGGTCAAATAGGGCTTGATGTAATAAAATACAAAGCAATTCGATTTTGTATAATTAGTTCCTCTTTTTTTGTTTTTACCAACCCTAACCCGCGAGGCAGTTTAGCAAATGCCAATTAGAGATAGAAGTCGTTTTCCTTCTTCTAAACATAATGTGTTTCAACAAATCACCCAAGTTAAACTTTTATTCAGTTTCATGAATGAAATCTTTTGGCTTGCCTGTTTTTTTTTTCCATTAAATTTATAGTTCCACAAAATATGAAAAATGTCCATGTAGGAAGATGGAGGCTCAGAGCAGACTAACTCCTGTAAAGTCTTCCCCAAAAAAAAGAAAAAGGGAAAAAAAAAAAAAAGAAAAGAAGAAGAAAAAAAAAAGTATGCATCATACCAAAGTCTTGATGTACAGTGCACCAGATTCAATAGAAGCTACTTTTCCACAGTAAGCTGATAAGCCACCACTATGGAATAATCTTAACAAAACTGTTGAATAATTGTGGCTGTCAGCACATGGTGCCAAATGGAAAAGGTAAAAAAATATAGTTGGGACTGTTAGAATTTCAAAGAAAACCGAGATCATGCATATGCAATTACAGTCCATGTGAGTGTGACATTTGGCAACTGCAAAGTGACAGATACATGGTTTGCTTTAGAAGCATCAAAACGAAGAGGCGTGTCTATCTTGAAGCCTTGGGGTTTCTTCAACGGTTGGATGTCTGGTGGTGCTATACTTTGTGGGACAGAGAAAAGCTGTACTGCAACACTCAGAAGTTAAATTCTTTCGTTGGAAGGTTTGATGATGACTCAAAACTGTAAGTACCTCCCTGGGTGGCTTCAGGAATGAGGCTCTGATCTTCATCAATCTGTAGGCAAGAAGACAGAAGTAAATGCCTGTTAGTTCAAAAGGACTTCTCAAACCACAGAGGGAATAGTTTTAAGAAGGAGTAATACAGGTGTTCAAATTCAATATTCCATGATTGAAAATCATAGTTTAGTATTCAGCTTATACAAGATTCGTATAGAAACCCATACTGAAAGCAAATTCAGCTGACTGGGAATATGAAAGGCCAAAATTTAGTAAAATGTTGTTTACAAGCCTGGTCACATGGCAGTAGAGATTAAAGACACAAACTGTAATAAACACATTTGTAATACAGAAGTACTTACGTCATCACCAGAAAAATACTGGTCTATGATTTCAAAAGCTAGTTTATATATTTCTTCATTCTCATGTTGCTGCAGTGCTTCTATTTTCTCCAAACCTAAGCATAAACAGACAGACATGTTGAAAGCACCTTATCAAAAGAGTAATGTGCAGATAATGCTTGCAGTTAGATACACAGTTATATATTCCATTTAAATACACGTCAGAGTATCAAAGCATGAGTTACTTTGCTTGTTCCATATTTCAAGTACAGTAGCAGAAATCACAGAGCGCTTTTGACAGGAATTGCCCATAATAAACCAGTTCCTAACAGCCTGTTGGTTAAATGAATACACCAACCCCCCATCCCCCCTGCAAAGCATCTCAGCCTGCTTAAAGTAACCTAGACCACTACATCTTAAGGTCTGGATTGGACTATCACTACAGGAGTACATGCCTCCTCCATGACGTTGCAGGAGACAGGAAGATAAGCCTTGGCGCTGGAAAAAGGTAAGTAAGACGGTTTTAAACTTTAAGTAAAACAGATTTGTGTTTGCAACGCTATATTGTTTCTTTAAGACGTGCTGTAGTAGTTAACATTGTTAGATGATTTTGGCACTTTTATAATAAACCGACATGGTTGCACCTTCCCGGCTGGGAGGATGCTTAACCGGATGTAACACAAAGACGACATTAATGCTTCTAACAGAGAAGCACCGGATTCAATGCTTCCAAATGAGAAGCATCACCAGGCATTTGCTCGGTGTGGTCTTTATGGGGCTCACCTCTAAGTCTTTATAGTGCAGGAGCTTGCCCAACATCCCAGAGTAAAAAAAAAAAAAAAAATATTTAGAATGCTGAAGTATTACTTCAGAAATTGCAATCAGGTCTGCTTATTTATATGGCCCACATACATATCAATCTGAGCCCAACTTTGGAACTAGAACTGCATGCCAATAAGGTATTCTACAATAGATGAGAAGTTCCATACAGCTTTATTTTTACCTACTGCTTACTTTATACTTCTCCCATATTTATTGTAGCAACACTACAAGTGCTTGCATTAATATCTTGAAATAAATAATTTTGCTATAATGTCCAGTTTACCCATATGTAGTTTCCCTTCATCCCCCCACCAGACTACCATCTGACACCAACAATTTGCTTAAAAGAAAAAGGAACCAGACCTCATCTATGGTCAGGTAGAATTTGGGGTGTTCATGGTGGTGTTGCTCTTTATAAGGCAATATATATTTAGCCTTTTAAAGGCTACCTGTCCTGTAAGACAGGAAAGGAAAACTACCCATTTGTGATGAATGCTGCTTGGATGTTTGGAAAAAAAATAAAAAAGTAAAAGTGCACAGCAAGTAACCAAGGAAGCATTCCCTTTAAATTATTTCACACAAAAAGCATGTTCGGATTATAGGCCACATCCAATAACAATGTAAAAGGGTTTGTGGAACAAGCATATAAGGAAGGTGGGAAAAGGGGTTTGTGAGGAAATAAATTCACAAAATATCACAATTATTCTGACAAATAGAGGTATTTTAACATAACCCATTCTGGATGCGCATCTGCATAATGAAAAAAAAAAAAAAAAGGATTTTCCTTACACTCCAATATACATGATGTAGCTTGAGAAACATTAAAATGATGCTTACCTCCACATTCCTCTATGATCTCTGCAATGGTACTTGCCTCCTCCCCAGCCATTATAAGAATATTTTTTAATCCATCTAAAACAACCTGCACAACTTGGGAATCTTTGACAGAAAGCAAGCTGCAAAATGGCGGGATCACGTTCTGCTGCACAAGATACTCCACCTGCAAGGGAAAAAAATTATTGAATATTTTCACACTGAGCAAATTGCCATTTTCCTACAGCAGGGATAATGTTCACAAACAGGCATCAATGTCACAGAACTGATGAAAAGCTCAATTTAATGTAAAAATGGTGTGCATTCGCCTGCACTAGAGTATCAGTGGTCCAAAAATTTCCAAGATCCACTTTGGTAATTACTAGTCACTTTTAGATCATCTTGAGGGTATTGCCATAAAAGATGTTTTGGGGACATTACATAAATATGTATACATACACGTACTTCAGTGTTGTTTTTGTTAAAAGTCCAAAGGTATTCTTTTGCATTAGAAACCCAACATCAAATCATGATCCAGCAGGCCTAATACCCGATATTAAAGGAACACTCCAAGCATCATAACCACTCCAACCCGTGTTCCAATGAATTGGGCTCACATCTTGGTCTTTATAGCCCAGGAGCTTGCCCAACATCCCAGAGTTATAAAAATATATTTTTTAAAATGATGTATTATTTAGAATGCTGAAGTATTACTTTAAATTGCAATCAGATCTGCTTATCTATATGGCCCACATACATATCAATCTGAGCCCAACTTTGGAACTAGAACTGCATGCCAATAAGGTATTCTACATAAAGATGAGAAGTTCCATACAGCTTTATTTTTACCTACTGCTTACTTTATACTTCTCCCACTGTAAGTATTCAAACTGATTAAGAACAGCTTGACAACATGTCCTGGGGACTGTCAGACGTCCATCGATGCCCCCTCTGGAGTGGGCTGATGGTTATGGCGCATGGACTGTTCACTCAATAAGGCATGAGTGCCAGACTTATTACACAATATAACTACAATAAATCTGGGAAAAAACGAAGGAAGACCTTAGATCCTTCACACTTAGATCACCAGGGCGGTTTTGTTTAAAGGAAAACTCATTTTATACACCGCAATATAGCCAAGATGTGTATTCCTTTATCTGAACACTTACATGCATTCAAAACAAGTAAATATTCAGTGCATTTCCTGTCAACCTTGTATTATCTGAAGGACTGAAAGCAGTCACTTTCAAAAGGCAAGTAGAATTGTTAATTTTTATTTTTTCCCTTTGTCAGCATCCAATGCATATAGAGATAGAAACAACTTTTTAGGGACCTACATGTATGTGCTATATGAAAATAATGATCAATAAACAACAACTGCAATACTGGATAATCACATTAATTATACAATGACTACCCCTACACTCTTGTCTTTTCAAACTAGAATTTAAAAGTGTGCTCTAAAAGCACAATCACCATTACATTTGAATACATTTGCAAATGTGTAACTACTTGTTTTAAGAAGTAATCCTAGTCAAACCAAGGATTGCATTTTATTATATAGTATATCTTACTTGATCTTTTCTCCCGCTAATTGTCAAGTTACTGATTGCCCACGCGGCTTCTTTTTGTGTTCCAAAGTCACCCTACCAAAAAAAAAAACAGATGGATATTACAAGTATAAGAATTGGTTCTGTGCACAAGAGATCTGTAAAAATATGCTGTAGAAAAGGATGAACAACCAGTGCTATCCTGGACTTACCTTTGCTAGCTGATGTATGATCATTGGGATAAGTCCAGCATCAATAACGGCCTGAACTTGCTGCTGGTTCCCTGCAGTGATATTGGACAAAAACCACACTGCTTCCTGCAAGATAGGGAATAAAAAAACCAAAAACATAAAATGTACAGTTACGATGCAGTTTCATACAGGAATAGGCATTTGCATCCAAGCACAATCAAGGGCCATGCAGTTATTCTAGCTTTTATCTGATAAAACAAGACACTAGTCGAAGGTTATACTGTATATTAAACTAAGCTATATACATATTAATAGACACTTTTCCAAGGATGTGAGCAAGACCTGCTCTGTCTGTAGAATTAACTGTAACCGAGTGTGTGAATGCAGGAGTCTATTTTGTGTACGTGAAGGATCCCTGTATTTGTGTGAAACTTTATAAATTGAGTGCAAGGGTTATGTTGCCATTCGTAAACATGCCAGGTGGAGGAATTTAAAGGACCACTCTAGGCACCCAGACCACTTCAGCTTAATGAAGTGGTCTGGGTGCCAGGTCCTTCTAGGGTTAACCCATTTTTTAATAAACATAGCAGTTTCAGAGAAACTGCTATGTTTATGAATGGGTTAAGCCTTCCCCCAAAGCCACTAGAGGCTGTCTCATTGACAGCCACTAGAGGCGCTTGCGTGCTTCTCACTGTGATTTTCACAGTGAGCACGCCAGTGTGCATAGGAAAGCATTGTAAATGCTTTCCTATGCGACCGGCTGAATGCGCGCGCAGCGCTTGCCGCGCGTGCGCATTCAGCCCAGGAGGAGGATCGGAGGAGGAGAGGAGGCAGAGAGCTCCCCGCCCAGCGCTGGAAAAAAGTTTAAACACCTTTCCCCCTTCCAGAGCCGGGCGGGAGGGGGACCCTGAGGGTGGGGGCACCCTCAGGGCACTATAGTGGTCCTTTAATCTCTGACATGTTACAGTCACTCCCTTTTACTTCTGACATTTTTCTCTTTATTGTGAGGCCCCCACTTGTTTTATATGAAAGCAGGTGGGAGATTTGTCACTTGTTGCAAAAGCCAAGAGCTGCACTTTAGAGAATTACATACACAACCTTCCTAAAAAAACTCAAATTGTAGCGCTAGGTAAAGCACTAAAAACAAAAAAATGCACTTTAAGCCATTATCTACATTTTTAAAATGAATGGTTAGGAGGACCTGTAATAAGTAAAAAAAAAAAAACACAAAAAAACATTCTGGCCTTCAGCTTAATTTCGCTAATCTAGCAAATCATTACCTTGTTAATTTTCTCTTTAGGATGTGACAGGAGATTTTGGAAATGAGACAGCACATCACAGTTTAAGACCACTTGAGTCTGTTCATCTGTGCCAGTCACAATGTTACCCACTGCTCTTAGAGCTGCAGTCTGAAAATAGAAATACAGTTAAGTGAGCATGATGACAAAGCCAGGTGTGATACCACAGCTTATAATGATGTATGTGCCAAAAAACTAGGCTAAACAGAACTGCATAAAGAGCAAGCATAAGTCACAGATTTCCAAGGAGACAACCTCAAAACATGGCCTGAAGACGAAGTCTCACCTTTGGGCACTTTTTGTTTTAATCAAGGACACCAAATAGTATGTACTAAAATAATATATAGGCTACAAATTCCTAACAAATACTCGTTGAAAACCCTGGTCCTCGAGTGTACCGGCTGCCATACAAGTTAATTTGTGGTACAGTGTTTCTCAATGCCTTGCATGTATGTCATTAAAGCAGCAATCCAGGCATCATTACAACTACATCTCAAATCAAGCTGTTATGGTGCCAGGCGGTCCCAGATGCCATCTAATGTTAAGGGACTAAACAGTTGCAAAGGCGGTGCTCATCAGCTCTATCTAGCTACTTCCACCAATGACTGGGCACCCTTGACTCTCAGCCTATTGTCAGCTCCCCATTGACAAAGCTGAGTGAAAAAGATAGCGGAGTGGGAAGCTATTGATAGGCTGAGAACGTCAGTTGACACCTTCAGCCTATCAGCGCTGCCCAGTCCAAGGCTTCTTGATTGAATATTCAGATCAGTGGAATTAGCTGGGAACAGCGAACAGGCACTGCCTTTGCAACTTTAAGGTTAAACCATTCATAAAACCACAAAACCCCAACACAGATAAAGGATGTGTGAACCTGAACAATTTGATTCTGCACGTTGAAGCAGCAATGTCTGAGATTTTCATATGAAGTGTCCCATTAAAATTGCTGCACAATCAAAAAATAAATAGTTGGAATTGCTGTCTGGGTAATTCACTAAAGTAAGGAATTCAAACTTAATTTCAAATTTACGGTCAAAGTAGCCAAACTGGAAGCACAGCAGACTTGAAGAGAAACAACAACAACAAAAACAAAAAACAATCTTACCTGTACTTTCACTTCCTGGTGGCTCAGAAGAGGTACTAAGTAAGGCACCACTCCAGAATCAATTACCATTTGGATTTGTTCATTACCCCCATCGGTTAAGTATGACAAAGCCCACACTGTATCCACGAGAATCTAAAAATAAAAGTGGAAAAGAAGATTAGTACTGCAATATGTCCCCATTACTCATACCATGGTGCTACAACTAAACAAACTCAACTAGGTTTAATAAACCGTACTTCACAATATGCAAAGGATGCCTACAGATGTGAAGACCTGTAGATGTCCTACTAGATCAGGCATCGGTGACAATTGCTTTTGCTAGTTCTTTATATAAAATTTAAAGCATTACTAGCGAAAGTAAAAATGGCTCAAAAAGGTCAGTTAAATCCCAACTCTATAAAGAATAGATGGTTATGATTGAAGTCACTCCACTCTTGTTTCCCCAGCAGAGTGATTGCTTTTTTTGTCAAACCTCTTGAAAATGGTTTGACATGCCAGGGGACTTTAGTCATTGCCTCCCAGCACAATACCCACTACAATAATCTGTACTGGTTATGGTGCTTGCAGTGCACCTGCTAATAAAAAACACTGTGTACAAGCAAGCAGAATAACAGTTACATCTATTCTGCTTTAAACCGCAATTCTCTTAAAATGGGGCAGACCAAGAGCTTTAATATGGAATCTGTATAATGAACGCCAGCAAAGCATTAATTAGTCCATGTTTAGAAATGCTTGTGCTGGTTTTACATTTTCATTTAAATGTTCAAGGCAGAACTAGCCAAAAGTTAAAACATAAGGTACCTTATACAGAAATCTATCTAATCAGGAAGGATACATTAAGTTTTAATAAATCTTCATTCATCTGCTGGGTTACAGATGTTGCCTAACTCCATGATTATTCTACATTTGAATAAAGTTACTGCACGTAATAAAACACTGCCCAAGTGTCTTAACTTATGTATATTTTAAAACAAAACTTATGTTATAAAAAAAAGATGTTCACACTTACATTAATATCTGTATGATAGATGAGCACACACAGTGCCGGCAATATCTAAAAAAACCAAAAAGCTCCAGTTTAATGGTTGCAGCAATTCAAACAGAATATATTAACATAACACTGACCCGTTGCTTATTTTCCCACCCCACTCTCAGCTACAATAAACCTACATGGAAAGAATATTTAGGACAGTTATGCTAAAAATCATTTTAGATAATATTTGCCTATCAAGGCCTTCCTGAAAAATATCTGTTTTATAGGTCTAAAGAACATATGTGTAATTTAAGGCAAATTTGTAAAATATATTAAACCAACGACTGTAAAACATCCAGAAAAGTGTATACCAGAAATCATGGATCACAAACAGACCTTTAAATATTTTATATATAAATACACACACACTTATATTTATGAGACTCTGACTTACAACCACAGAGGATTATGGGAACAGAAGTTCACAACAGGCATGCTGAACGTAAGGTAGCCAGTTGGACCACAAAATGCATATTAAAAACTCCCCCCCAAAAAACAAACAGAAAATGGAATGTATTGCTTAAAAGTGAACCAGCACCACAAGGTATTGTCCAGGTTTGGATTAGTCAGAAAGAGTGCAGACATATTGTACCTCACTCGAAGTGAAGGATGTATATAAAGATATTTATAGCACGGATTATTTCTGTTCCAGTCTTAGCAACAAGGATTAACCTTGACTGTTTAAAACTCACTATCAATCACGTTCCAGTGCTGTATCCAAGGCACACAAACCTGGATCATGTGCAATTATCTCAGCATTACATTATTGAACATTCTTAACAGGAACACAATTATATCACTCAAGCTTAAAATGTGTTCTCTACCAGTTTGTTTCATACAACAAAAAACAAAAAAAAACGCAAACACTGACATAAAAGAAATACTTATTTGATTAAGAATATAAAAAAAATCTGATGATAAACTGGACATATTACGATATTACCAAGAAACAAAAGTACTTTCTCATAACTCAAGAGAATTCATCTAAAAGGGATTTGTTCTTTTAATTGTTTTATATCTATAATTTTAATAAATCCAGAATTTCATGCTGCTCTATCACACAGCACCACTGATCGAGGGCAACAAATCACGTTTTGCATTTGCTGTTGATATTGTTGTCCATAGACTTCAAACCCGCTAATTACAGATTACTATGCTGGAAACTAGACAGAGTACAACTGAAGACTAATTAAACCAACTGCAATCCATAATATGACAAACAAAATACCTTCAAGGATCACTATAGGGTCAGGAACACAAACATGTATTCCTGACCCTATAGTGAAAACCCACCATGACCTCCTCAGAACGGGTTAAAGCTCACCTTATTTTCAGCTCTCCACGGGTCCGCCAGCACTCGCCCCACCCCCTTGGTGACATCAACATTGCCTATTTTTAGCCAATCCAATGCAATGGATTGGCTAAAATCGTCAAGGGGCGGGGCAAACACTGTTTTGGCCAACCAGCACCTACTCATAGAGATGCATTGAATCAGTGCATCTCTATAAGGAAAATTCAGCGTCCCCCTTGCAGAGCACGGAGACGCTGAACGGCAGGGCTGCTTACTGTAGAGCCCTGAGCCAGGAAGCCCCTCCAATGGCGATCTGAGGAGTGGCCACTTGTAGGTGTCCCTAGGGGCAATGTAAACACTACCTTTTCTCTGAAAAGGCAGTGTTTACATGAAAATGCCTGAAGTGAGCGATTATACTCACCAGAACAACCTCATTAAGCTGTAGTTCTGGTGACTATAGTGTCCCTTTAATATCTCAAGAAGAAAAATTGGACTATCTAAAACATTTTAAGAAGATTTGTGGCCTCTCCCAAATCCTTGAAACCAGGTGATATAATTTCTATTATTTAAACCTGGATGCTAGGCACTCCAAATTGCCACCATAACGGTTTTAAATAATGTAGTACCAGACTGGGAGACTGTCTCGGCGATCCATTCGTTCCACTCTTCACCTGTTCGAGAAGAGCAATGATTTCAAAATAATGTAATTCATCAGTTTCGTTTTTTGTATATAGTTTGGGTCAGATGGCCTTTTAGGTGCGGGATTCCCAGAAGCCCCATGCCTACTAATGACTTTGCGCCTCTATGGGCTGTGATGGACAGAGTTCCTTTCCTTTCTATAACCCTATGTTACATCACTTCAGAGATGAGAGATGTCTACCAGACAACCCTTAAATCTACTCTAGCTTGTGTCCTGAAATTTAAAGTGGGCCAACACAAAAGAAAGGAAATTCTTACTTATTTAACACCAACCACATTTCCTGTAGGAAACTCACTGATCAGCTACTACCCAACTTATAGCTCTGTGGATTTAATCTTGTATAGTGGTTAAATACAACTCCAAGGCCAGAGCAGTGGGAATCCTGCTGCATAAGTAAGCATACTCTGAACACTTGAGGGTCATGCACAATCCAAATTAGATTTCCAAATGCAACACTTTTTTTTTAATTGACGTGGAAGGTCTGGGAAACTGCTAGTTTGCATGGCAAATTCTAGAAATAAATTCAAACCCATAACTGCGATTGTTGACCCTGAGGATCATAGACTTGCGTCTCATGAAACCATCAATAAAGTTTTCTTACTCTAGACAACTTATGAACCCAACAGACAACCATGATCAGGGTATGGCCTTCCACAAAAGCCTACAATTAGCTCACATGAAGACTCTAGGGAGCACCTTAATTAACCCATTACTGAAAGATCCATAAAGCCATTGTATCCCTTGAATCTGGAAAAGCACTAGGTCCAGATGACTATGCTGCCAAATATTATAAACTCCTGAAACAGAACAGCACTACCCTCAAAGCCCTTTTCAAATTTATTTGTAGGAACTCCAGAAACACATGCTTAATAAAGCATGCACCGTTCTTCCAAAACCAGGCACAGTGGCCCTGGCATCATATAGTCTAGTATCCTTACTCAACCACGACCTTAAACTCCTCACTAAAATCATTGCACTGAGAGTGCAGACATTCCTACCCCAGGTGCTCACTGCACATCAGCTGGGCTTTGTGGTGGGACGTCAGGCAGCTACTGCAGTCCAGAGGGTACTGGTGGCGGTAGCCACTAGGGAGAGAGTTGGCTCTGCTTCCCCCTCATTCCTCAGTCTCGAGATAGAAAAAGCTTTTGATAGTATCACTTGGCAACACCTAATCAGAGTATTGAAACTGCGTTAATCTGGGCACACTTTTTTTTTATTGAGATGAGATTTTAATACAAGTGGAAATAAATACCAGCATACTTAAACATAGCAGTGAGAATCATACAAATCCCATGGTATAATTAAGGCTAGCATATAACTATCTCATTCTGTGAATTACATAGTGGATAGTCTAGTAGCATAGAACAAAAGTAAATGCAGATATATTTTTCCACTGAGGGCGACAAGAAAATAGTGAAAAACTATTTCTTGTGTATGCAATGTTTAACTTGTGGGCTGCAGAGATTACATCCTAGAATACGAATTGCTAAACTGTATACTTCCTACTGAGTTGGAATATGCAGCTATTCAACCTCACTTTGGTTGGTAGAAAGAGACAGCAGGCTGGTGCCAGGATCCACTTCTCGCAGGAACCCACAATTTACTGGTACGGTGTTGTGTAGCCCACAGTATAGTCTGCCCAGAAGAAGTGAGAATTTGCTCAGTTGCTGAAGGACAGGTGGGCCCCCCTGATCAGTGCATGTAGTAGAAAGGGTATTCCCTGACCCGCTGGTGATCTGGGTGTTCGCACCCAACTAGCCTGAACAAGTGGTGGCCATTCACTTCGCTGCAGTTTGGTGAGCTGCACTGGGCCCGGGAGGTCTGTCCAATAGTGTACCCTGTTGAGCTAGGGCCTCCAAGAAACTGTTGCATAGTCTATCGAACTTAGCCTCCAAGGAAGAGAATCAGGTTTCCAATGGCTCCCTGCTGCGGCAAGCAGCTCCGCTTAAGCTTGTGGATCGGCCGCCTCCCTCGCCACAGTCACTGAGGCACAGTGAAAACAGGCGCGTAACAAGAACTGAGAAACAGTTGAGGTAGCACAGCAGTTTCAGGAAGCAGCAGACCTGACTGGATGACAAGATCAGCTATTTTGAGGCACAAAAGCAGTATGTTTGAGTCAAGAGCTCTGGAAAACCATGTCTGCACAGCATGGCAATCAGGCCCGCCTCTCACGTTAATTTCTTTCAACATAATCCAACCTCTTGTATTAGCACAAATGGCCATGACTCCCCGTACTTTTCCATGGAAAGAGGGGGTAAGGCACAGATGCCCCCTATCACCATTACTATTAAATTTAGCCATAGATCGATTATTACAAGCAATAGGTTTTCTACAGGTGTTAAGAAGCACCCCAATGAGCGACACCACCTAGAGCGTCTTGGCCTTTGCTGATGACCTCCAAGGATATAGATAACTGAATCTGCCCTGTCACTACCACCCTTCCTTGAACTGCTTGAGACTTTCCATGACAAGGCAGAACTCTAGATCAATAGCTCCAAATCTAGTGGACTCAACCTTTATCATGGCATCCAACAGCTTTCAAATACATTGGGATTAAAATCTCTCAATCCCTTTACAAATTGAGTATTCCCAGATGTTTACACTTATTTTTAAAGAACTAGAACAACGGCAAAAATTGCAATATATATACATATATATATCTCATCTATATAAATTAGCTTTCCAAACCGGCTATATCTCTTACAGGTACTCCCACTTCTCCTTTCCAAAAATAAAAAGACAAATGCCTTCTGAATAAAAGGGCGGAGAGCTTGTTTCACTAAACTAAAATCAATCAAAAATCAAAAGAAAAAGGTGGACTTAACCTCCCAAACGCTAGGGAATATAGCTTGGTGGCTGAACTTCGACATGCAGTGGATTGGTTTCAAACAAAGATTTTCAGAGCTAACCTTGGAGTCCTTCCTGTTGTTGCCAAACTTACTGCCAGCTCTCCTCAGACTACATAACCTCCTTTCATGTGATATCCTCACAAGCCCTCTGGTAACTGTTCCTATTACGGTTTGAAAATGATCAAGTTCCAGATTGGGAGCCAATACTTTATACTCTCTCCAAACAACCCTATCTTGAAATCACAACTTAAGGATGGAAATAATCACCATCCCTTCACAACATGGTCAACACAAAATGTACTTCCGTGGACTTTAACAGCCCAAAAGCTCTCATTTGAGAACTTCAGGGAGCGTTTCCTAGGACTTCCACTGCCATTGTGCGACATTATTTCCAAATCATAACACTTTACACCTGCTGATTGGGATAATCCCTTGGACACTTATGCAAATAAAACCTGGCTTTCTACTCCATAGCAAAATTATATAAACTCTTGCGGTACACATCAGACTGGACCACGATAGAGACAGGCTTGGGGCACTGGAAGGCAAGTTTTCCTGATATAAGCCAAGATATCTTTATTGCACACTACACCACAAAGCCAACTTCTACCCATTGACTCCTATTGAGATATGATCCTAAAAACCACGCATTGGGTATATTATTCCCCTGGTTAGAAAGGATTCAGTGACTTATTTCAAATGCACACATACAAACACGGACTTGTATCACTGTCTGTGGAAGTGCACCCCGATTAAGTCCATTTAGAGGGAATGAAAACAGTATGTAGACACTAATAACATTCTCTCTACCCCTCAATCCTGTGTTTCTGTTATAGAGGACCCTCCCAGGTAATCCAATAACTCACAACAAGTACAATAGCAGCAGTAGGATATTAAACTATCCTTCAGGTCTGGAACCAACAGGGTGCACCACCTTTGCACTAATTCTTGACAAACCTGGAGTACACAGCTGGTCGTGACCCTTTACAAAACTATGTCCAAAGATATCAACTACTCCTTCATATACTCACTACCTGGATGGGCATTACAGTTCACACGTTTTTGTTTTTAGGCTTTACTAGTTTTGTTTCTTTGTTATCTGAGCTTTGGTTTATGGTTTAATGCCCTGCCTCTCTGTTTGATTAACCATTCCAAACCAAGATTGAGTAACACCTATTGCATAAGAGATCATGGCTCCTACAAACTCTTCAATCCACAATGCAATTGCTTCTCTTCCTAAAGCGAGGAGAGGACAAAGGGATGGGCAATGGAGTGGACTAGATCAGGAGGTGGTTCAATTTTCACAGATTAGGATTACTTTTAATTTGATATTGAGAATTTTATCATCAAAATGTTTGAGTGTTGAATGCTGTATTGTATATTACGATCTTGCTTAACTTCATACTGATTACTATTCATTCTTTGTCAGATATGGTTAATTACATTGATAAGATTCATAATAAAAATGAAGTTTCAAAACCAAAAAAACCGCATGCATTTGCATATTAAATGAACTCTCCCAACTTTATCTTAATGAAGTTGCTATGTTGTCTTGAGGCCCTCGCTGCAGTGTTACCGTAAAATGTTAAACCATTTACAAATTGTTTAACACCAAAGTTGTATAGACGGCGTTTGTCTGCTTTGCCCATTTTCCTTCAGCTAAGTCTCAGCTTCAATGAGGAAACCTTAGACTGGGCGTTGGTAATAGGCTGAACTGACACTCACAGCCTAGGACTAGCTTCCCACTGAGAAAACTGTGTGAGATAGGCATGTACTCAAAATACTTATGTTCAAGGTTTCTTGACGAAAAAAATGCCACTTGATACAGAACCAAATTTACAAAACCAGATTTGCATACAAAAAGTGAATTAATTGTTCTCAATATCTTTGCTAATTTTAGTTACCTCCTGGACAGTCTCCATTGGCGGTGGGGGATCCTTATTCCTGCAAAGATTGACAATGACCCATGTGACGTTCCGGAGGAAGGTGATGGGGATGGAGGGGTTGATGAACGACAGGAGCGGTTTGACAACTCCAAGTGAGATGACGTAATCTCTACACTGGGGGCCGTCACCTACAGACGCAAGAAGAGTTTATAAAAATAAAATGGGGGAAAAATCTTTTTATCAATGATGCTGACAGGGCAGGGAAGAAAAATGAAGAAATAAAAATTTGGAAATATACAGCATACCAGCAACCCGATTGTAACTTGATTTTATGGGGAAAAGAATGAATACATATGAAGGCAAAGGATTATATCAATCCTTGGATATAATTTGCGCTTCTGCAAGTGCTCAAATAACAGAATAATGTCACCATTCAATCAAGTGATCAAAGTGCATCAAATATTAAAATTACTGGCAACAATATACATGATAATGTTAAAAACAATGGTGCGCTCGTACTTTTGTGTGTCAATGCAATGATGTGAAGAAGCGATTCCAAGGGCAGAAACTGCTACAGACGTCTTACCCTTAAAAGGAAAGCACGACAATATAATTTGTGACTTTTGCTTAATAAAGGTGTTAAAGATCCGGCTTGACTGATGGCAAGTCCTTTAAAAGGAATACAGTGGATTCAACAAACACAAAGTATTGATCTTACCTGTGCCTGAAAGTTGAAACTGGTACAGAAATCCACTCCACATTTGTGAGTGAAATTCCAATTTCTTTACAATATCACACATTTTTCATTTGACAGTTTTGTACTATGTTTCTATGTATTATTTGCAAGCTGTGTTGTCTACATAATTGAAGCATAAGCAAGTATATGTACAATGCATTGATATTTTTAAGTGTATACACAGTGCACTGACATTTTTTTTTGGGGGGGAACCATTGTTTTTAACATGATCCGTCCAAATAACCAAGTGAAACTTATTTCAGTCAGATGGTATCAGATACCATTTGAGTGGCGCAGCGTGTATTGCCATGCATGAGGACTAATCTCTCAGTGCTTCCCTGCTGAGCCTGGAGCTGCAAGGGAGAAAATGTAAGGAATATGGCTTTTTTTAATACAAATGGGTGAACGTATGCATGCGTCACCTAACTAGTTAGAAAGGTACTATAGCCTTAGATATTACACATTGCTTTTAAAACAGTTCAGCAATTTCTAATATGTCATTACCACTATCATTAGCAGGCAGCTAGATCCAATTAATGTTAATTCTGTATTTGTAATCATCCCTACATAGGAGCGGTATAAAAAGAACAAATGTCAGATGTTATCGTGAGGTCACACTTCATTTATGTTTGCCTTTAGGAAGTAGCAGAGTTTGTTTTTGCTTTGACTCACAGCTAGTCAAACATGAATGCACATTTACGTGCCAATGGAATACTGAACTAATCATTTAAAAAAAAAAAATATATATATATATATATATATATATATATATATATATATATATATATATATATATATATATATATATATATATATATATATATATATATATAATTCTGTTTGTTGTCCAATAGACTAGTCATACTTACCAATTATATTTCCAAGTGCCCAAACTGCTTGTTCACATACATTTTGATGCAGGGAATGGAGAAGTCGTAGGAACAGAGGTACAGCATCTACGTGAATAATAAACATGGTCACATGGTGTGCCAGGCCTTCTGACATCAAAACAAACAATTCTGGCTAGTGCTCAAGACGTTATTAGCTATGGGACAGTCTTATCCAGATGCATAATACATACATTCACTAAAACTGTAGTTGCACAACATTTAATACATGCGATAATTTTTTTAAACAGAATATGTGTGACTAACATTTGAAGTTTAGACCACATATTTGTGTGTGTCCCTTCCTTTGTTCTTACCCTGCCCTTCTTTTCCCCAGTAGTACATACATTAACCTGTTCCCTCTAAATTCTATTATATCTAGAGGTCTCATACACATTTCTATATCCACTACAAGCAATCTCTCACACACACACTCCACCTTTTCCCCTCTCTCTACTTTCGGCTTCATTTATAGCATGCCTTTCCAGGTGTTTGGCCTCTTCCTTAATCACATCTAAGCAGTCTATGCTCTAGGCTCTCCGTCCATAATCTTCAAAATGTTCCCCTGCTCCCTCTTGTTTCAAGTCCCCATATCATAATGCTTTTTATTGTAAGCTCACGAGCCCTCTGCTTTAGAACGGCTGTAAATAGCTGATCTCTGATCATGGGGTGCAGAGTCCTCTATTCCCTTATATTTGTTTGTCTAATCTGCACTGTCCATTTTTCCTGATTGTACAGCAGTGGGGAATAAGTTGGAGCTTTATAAATAGGACTACCGTCTTAAATTATTCTACTACTATTCTATCATTGTAAGTCACACTAAAGTGCTGGAACATCCAAGAAAATAGCAGAACAGAATTAAGTGGTCATTAAGAGCAACTCGTTTGATATAAATTAAATTTGGTTAACAGTTCAATATTCTATTTGGATTTTGTCTCAAAATGCACTAGGATGCTTTTAATTAATACTGCTACCCGATAACACTTGTCCATATATGGAAACTGTTAATGGTATTCACTAAAACAGCTACTTAAGTGGTCATCGAATAATAAATATATATATATATAAATTCTCAAAAAAACCCACTAAGAACTTTCCTAAATCCGCTATATTCCCAGCTTGGCTATATTAGCACGTTTAGTTTCCCATTCACCACAATTCAGTGATCAGACACCATTTAGACAGACTTACTTGACTGAACCACTGCTTGTGTCTGTGCAGATGTGCCCGAGGCTATGTTGGTAAGTGCCCATGCTGCCTCAAACTGTAAAGAAGGACTAAAAAGAGAAGGGAAAAAAAAGTCACAAAAAGCAAGTGTTAAAAAAAAAATCCTGGTCACAAATTAGTGAATAAAAACTTCAGAATGAATTTAACCAAAAACAAATGTAATAAAAAAAGTCTATGCTACAGTGATGAAAACATAGGTTTTAACATTAATTTGAAGTAGATCTATTGAAACCAAAACTATAAGAAAAAAAGAAAACCTTGCAAAGGATAAACAAGTAGCAACTTGCTCTGTGCAATGGTAACCACTTAGGGTCTCAAAATACCTGTAAGCCCTATCCTCACTGACTGAACCAAGATATGAAGTGTTGAATAAACATGTATTTGTACTAGTTTTTTTCATGCCTTAAACTATATTTAAAAAAAATAAAAATAATATTGTATCCATAAATAAGTTCTCTCATTAGTGCCATTACAAAAGAAGAATATCAGACAGGCCCCATAAATAAGACCCAGATATGGAAAGTAAATAAACACCAAAGTATTTGCTTCATGTTGTATTTTTAATACAAAATAAACTCTTCGGTAGCATAAATAAATCTCAATGCCAGCTAGAACAGAAGAGGAGGGAAACAAAAACAAAAAATGGTGTATTTGATGCAGAGGAGGCTGACTGGCAGTTTGGACCTGAACTGGCCTTACAGGCAGATTAGGTCTTAAGTGACGTGTGGCAAAGTCTCTCTGGTGATGGCGTGAGTTCATTAATGGCTGCTTGAGACAGCTGCCTGATTAAATGCAGTATATCTACATTTAGATTTTTAGTTACGTAGTTACTAATATGTTGCTCTTGTTTTAGTTTACAGTCAAAAGAGATGTAGCGATAAACTTGCAAAGTTTTGATAGAGTCCACAGTGCTTTACCATACATTACAAAAACATTTTTTCTTTTCAATCTCTACTGATCAATAGTTTAAGGAATATCAGTGACAACCCAATTCATAGATTACTTCAGGAGTAACATTCTCGTAAAGGTCTGCTTTTACAAAATGTATATTTAAATTAACAAAAATACATTTAAAGTGTTCACTATAGGAATAAGAAAATGTAACCATTCATACTTATCATCAGCCTCTAAGCACTTCACCAAGATTGGCAGAATTCCAGATTTTATAAGGTCATCAATCGGAGGGTTTCTGTCACTGGATAACAACTTTCTGGAAGAGGGGGAAAAAAAAAAGTCAGTCATATAGCCTTAATCAGAGAAGATAGAAAAACATTTTAAATGGTATATAGACACACAGTTTATTAATGTATTGTGATAAAATAGAAGTTGGAGAAGCATAAAATGTTGGAAAAGACTAAAATTGTATTTTAAAGAAGCCTACAGTGTAGGCTCTTCATTATCAGAGAGCCTGTAAAAGCACCTGGGTGAACCTATTTTTTTTCAAACGTCTTAAAAATAGACTTGGGGAGACTGGAATGGGGTGAGGGGTAAGAAAAAATATCGAAGGATGGAGCCCTCAGATGTTTAGCACCACAGCCACTATAATAAGTTGTAATGGAGATTGTACTACCGCTTTAACCCCTTAAGGACACATGACGTGTGACATGTCATGATTCCCTTTTATTCCAGAAGTTTGGTCCTTAAGAGGTTAAGAAGTACACAACTCATAATCAAGTAGTGGGAGATGCATCATTTAGTGCTTGGCAGATAAATGTAATTTTAGTTGCACAATTGGAGGACCTAAATCTTTTTCGATGTGATTTTTACAATCATATCAACATGGCTATAGTTGGCTAGGGCCAGTTTTGTGAATGGAGCTGTGCAGCATCTGACTGTCATGTCATGCGAGTAAACAGCATGTGCACAATGTACAATTATTTGTACGGTCAAATGAAAAGTACAGATACCTTGTTTGCTGTCAGAGAGCAAGAGAATTGCCTTACAGCTAAATTTTGCAAATCACTGCAGTTGTATGCAACAAGTAATAAGCATACATAGAGAAAGACACCATAACCTAGGCAATGAGCAGGTAGTGATGTTGCTTAAGGTGTCCCTTTAAGTAAAATAGGAACACAGTTCTAAATGTTACTTTTGAGAGAGGCAGAAATAGTACGTTTTCAGTTTAACACAAATAGCACTGAACACCAAGTGTTCTGAATGTTAACAAAAACAGACAAATAGAAAAAATGTGGACTGTCATTGTTACATTTATATCATATAGAAGAAATACAGCTGAATGTAAACATTTAAATAGAAATCTTGGTAGATTACCTTGCTGCCTGAACAGCGCTCAGCTGGGTTGTTGGGTTATCACTGGTGGCATTCTGTAAATTAGACAACACAAATCACATTAAAACTACAGGATGCAAATAAGCAAAATTGTGAGGCTATGAGACATAGCAGTTTTAATACATACCTGTAATATTGCCTCTAGTGTTACGTTTTGCTTCAGAGAGAGGGGGAAAAAAAAAAAAAATTAACACAACGTTTTAGTTTTTGAAACACAGATTTAAGCATAAACAAAAATGTAAAGATGATCTGTCATGCAAATAAACTAAATTATGTACCTTATATATTGAGTGACTCGAATTGCTGATATTATATATAAATATATATATATATATATATATGATTTTTTTTTTAGATAAAATAAATAAAAGTAGGATTATAAAGTCAAAATATGCCCTTGCAAAGATAAAGCGGTTATGCCAGAACATATTCACAAACAGTTGCAGATACCAGCAATACCTTTCCAGCAGCAATAGACTGATATAGTAGAAGCATTTAAAAAGGTTTTGGGATATATGCATTGCTGCAAAATTAGGAGTAAGGAATGTATTCTTAGAGGGACACTGCAAGCACTATAACCATTTCATAAATTGAGTTAGACAGCACCTGGAATCTTCTGGGGCTGTCCCTCCATTCAGTGCTAAACCATTTTAAAGTAGCAATGAATGAGATGCCCTTGGCTACATCATAGCCTGGTCCCTACTGGAGCTATGGCTAAGGCAGAGGTCACATACTGTCTTCTGGCCATAATCATAGCAGGGCTGTGATAGGCTGAAAGTGGTCTTTTGGCATTCTTTTAACAACACCCTCATTAAAAATGTTTTCATACTGAATGGAAGGATGGCGCCAGTGGACTCCAGACATTATAGCTAGTTACAATGCCTACAGTGTCCCTTTAAGCCAGAAAATGGGTACATTAAATGCACCAATAGATTTTTATATGCAATTAAAAGTTATATGATACTTCATTCTCATTTTAATTAAGACTATTAGATCATACCACATATTCAAGGACACTCAAGCACCATTAATACTATCTTTTTTCTTTCTGTCAAACATTTGGACATTCTACAGTATCATACGCCCACCACATCCAATGAAGACATAATGAGGAAATTCCCCTCCTCATTATCCAGCAAAAATATTTGTGTAAGAGGAAAGCAATGGGATACAGAATTATTCAGCCAAGTCGAACTCACACTAACCAACTTAACATGGTCAAATTGCTGTTACTGGGGGGCGGGGCCTGGCTGTGGAGCTGAGCAGACCTGTGTAGCATGAGATCCAGCCTGAAATCCCACTTTAAGCGAAACAAACTTGGCTCTTATGCTACAATCTCACTCAAAACGCACTATCCTGGAAGGGGCTGCAAGTTGGATCACACAGACTACTGCTGTAACGCTGAGCCACCGAGAATGTGGACTGCATCACTGGGGCATACTGCAGCAACAGCAAGCCTGACTAGAGGCCTAGGCGGAGGTAAGGGCGTGGGTGAGGTGGCCGATCACCCAGTCCGGGACTCCCCGAAAGCCAATACAAACACTGTGGTGGACCACCCATGAGCCTTCCCCCTCCCCCCCCGCCGCCGGTAAGAGATATACCGGCACCAGCAGCTCACCCTCCGCTGATCCACATATCCAGGCTCCTAGAGTCACCGACCCCAAAATGGCAGACACTACAAGCAAGATGGAAAATATGGGGGACTGCAGGGAGCGGCTGAACAGCACACTGACCAAGCTGGATGCAATCCTTACAGCCTTCTGGGCCAGAGTCTTTGAGAGGGCACTGACTACAGCTAACGCCAAGCGGGCTAATCCTGAGCCACTACCCCATGTGCTTACGGGCCCCAGGGGAGGACACAGACCAACAGCTACTATAGGTCCTCTAAAAAGGCGCCGAAGAAAGGATCGGAGACACAAATCGACATGCAGAGCCTGCTACAGCACCCACCTACGCCTCAAGCCGCGCCAAAACCGCACCAGATATGAGACACCCAGCCCACCGGGCGGCACCAACCACCCGACGTAACAAACTCTTCTCACCATAAGCCGGTAACCTGGCGCTTAGCCAGACACTTGCCCCTGATGTTCCGGGTGATGAGGACCCCTGAGGTATGCACCAGGAGCCCAGAAGGGATCGGGTGAGTACAAACAGGAGAGCGGAGGCTGTCGGGCACAACTTGATACAGATGGACTTACACACCATGCCATTACACATAGGAATTGCTCTCCACTAACTGTAAAGAGACAATTAATTTAAAATGCTGGTATTGCACCTCCCAAAGAGTCTATTACCAAGGTCCCTCACATATGTTTACTATCTTTAAAGGACCACTATAGTGCCAGGAAAACACTCGTTTTCCTGGCACTATAGTGCCCTGAGGGTGCCCCCACCCTCAGGGACCCCCTCCCGTCCGGCTCTGGAAGGGGGAAAGGGGTAATAACTTACCTTTTTCCAGCGCTGAGGCTGTCCTCCTTCTCTCTCCTCCTCCGTTCCTCCTCCTGGGCTGAATGCGCAGCGCGGCAAGAGCTGCAGCGCGCATTCAGCCTCCATTAAAACATTTACAATGCTTTCCTATGGACGCTGGCGTGCTCTCACTGTGAAAATCACAGTGAGAGCACGCAAGCGCCTCTAGTGGCTGTCAGACAGCCACTAGAGGATTAGGGGAAGGCTTAACCCATTCATAAACATAGCAGTTTCTCTGAAACTGCTATGTTTATAAAAAAATGGGTTAACCCTAGCTGGACCTGGCACCCAGACCACTTCATTAAAAAATTATTAAAGAATTAAAAAAAAAAAAATTGCAGTTACTGCTTATGATGGTGTTGCATTGGCACAGGCTCCTGTTCAAACTCTGAACCACTAAATGTTTTTGGCATGGGGTGTCCTCCTACACAAGTGATGTATCATCTCCTGTAAGCTATAGTGGTTATGATGACTGGAGTGCACTTTAAATCGGCATAGGTAATGTATCCAGTATTATAGAGAGGCATACTAGATATATCAATTAATGTTCATTCAAGTGGACATCCACATTTGTATACAACACATCCGCTCTTATGAAACTGAATATTCACGTGTCCAGAGAATGTACTCATAACTACTAAATTAAGCATGCCTATACAAATGAAGACATTGTTGTGTAATAAAAAAACAAAAAAACAACAATACCGTTTAACACCAAAAAAATCCCAAAACTATACCGATTTGAAGTCTCCATCTACATCTGAATCTTCCAGACTCTCTTCTTGTGGAACATTTCTTTTTTTCAGCAGATGCTCCTCTCTTTTGTTCTGAAACGGAAATATTGTCCATCATTTCATGCACAAAAAGTGTCAAAGATTTGATCAGTAAACAAGGATAATTTATAAGCATACACCCGACATCCTAACCACTTCATCTCAATTTAGTGATTATGGTTCTGCAGTCCAATGGTGCCACTTTACCTTCCCGTTTTAACAGTGCTTTCAGTTGTACTGACAGTGGGTGGTCATAGTAGGCTGAAACGGTCACCTGATACTCTTAGCCTAGCAATGTCTCTTTCACTCCTCGAGCAAATGCTTACACATTAGCCGAGCACCAGAGAAAAGGAAAGGTGACAGGCGTCTGGAGAGAATACTACTTTGCTAAACTGGTTAGTACCAATGAAAGGTAAGACAGTGCCAAGGGACTCAGACGCCATAACCATTTCACTGAAATGAAGTGGTTCTGGTGCCAGGAATATCCCTTTTATGATACAATTCTTATTTCCCCCATCAATCTTTAAAATAGAAAGGCCAGCTGTTTTAGGGAACAAGTCTGCAGAATATTAAAAAAAAAACTGCAAAACATTAATAGTTTCATATTGCGCTCATATTCAGATTGCTTTACAGTTTTTCTAACAGACAGTTAAGTTTAATTAAACATACCCACACAAAAGGAGTAGAGGGCCCTGTCCCACAGACTTAGTTCTGACATTTGTAGCACTGTTATACAAACTGCTAGGTATGACCCTCCAGAGAGCTTACAATCAAAAGGAAATAGGCACGGACAAAAAGGTTACAGGAAAGAAAACATTATCAGGTGTATCTGAGAAAGTTACACACTTCCAAAACAGACTGGCCCCAGTTTGGATACCAACCTGACCTATTTAAGTACATAGCTCTACAGGAGCGCAATTCTTTGCATAGCTCACACAGAGCAACAGTTTAAAGCCTTGTACGACAAAAAGGTAATACAATAAATGCAGAAAGAAAATGTTCTTTACATAAGTGAGATTTTATTATAGAATTTTTTTTTTATTTATTTTTTTTTTTTTTTTTAAGTACTTCTGTTTTGATATTTCTATTTGCATGTAATTACCTGTGCCTTTTATATCCACTCTGCATGTAAAGTTCCCTGTAAGTTTGACATTTCCTTTATTTATCCAGTGTAGCCTAATTATACGTTTGCTGTGGTGAAATCACTTTCTTCAGCTGCACACAAGGTAGTGGGCAACTCTATTAAAATACTGTTAAGGATTGCATGCTGCTGCAGCAGAGGTCACATCCAAAACCAGGAAGATACTCCACCAACCAGGAGATTGTCGGGTTTTGTAAGATCTAATTTCCTGAGCTGTGACCGTTAAAGTTCCAGGTTTGAAAGCAGGAGAGGAAGGGTAGATGCAGTGTGCACAGAGAAGAAACGAAAATCATGACATTATAAGGGGAATAGCTTTTGTGAATCCTGATGTTAGAAGCCACTATGTAAATTGACACAAACTGAGCTCCTGGCACGATAACCTGTGCAATCGGGACATGCTAGGGTGCTTAGAGTGTACCTTTAAAAAGTGCACTCAGAGAAAGGTCTTGAGTTTCCTTCAAAATTTCACTATCGGAAACCGTTTTAGTAGTCACTACTGCAGAGTAGACTTTTAGGCCACAATTACCAAACTGGAAAAGATTCTCAGTCAGCTCTGTTCTCAATTCAGCTATTTTGTCCTAAAACTTAAAATGAATTTTCAATTCTAACTATTCATGTATGTGCTTGTAATACTGTAACTGTGATTTCCTCACAATTTAGATTTTGCTTCCCTGTGAAGAATGGCTGATATTTTTCAAGTCTTGCAACAAGTATATTTGTTAAAGAGTTTGATCTCACATACACCCCATCTACCTGCTTCTTTACAGCTACTACTAAAAATCTAAAATACCAAAGTTAAAATGTCTCGTAATACCCGATGTAAAAAACAAATTATATTCTTATTACAAGAGGAAGGAAGAAACTCAGTGTGTGTATTTTTTTTTTTTGAGGGGGGAGGGGGGGAATAGCTGGGTGAACATCCATATCACATCAAAGACACTGAATGTGATTTAAATAAGCATTCCAAGTTTGCCATTTATTTGTAACCAGTGCTCCTGACCCTATAGTGCTCCTTTAAAAAAAAAAAAAAAAAAAATGTAAAGGGTTTCCCCAGTGTAATTATTTGCTCCCATTAGTCTAGGGATAGGCTTATTTGGCCAAAGTGTGGGGGCAAAGCGGTGTACATACTACGTGAATAACAGGTAAGGATGTGAGGAGGACAGGCACTAGTTAAAAGAAGGGGGGGAGGGTGGTAGGACAAATTATATCTGACCTATAGTATTCCTATAAGTGCTTCCACCACTGCCTGCAAATGCAGAAAGACTACGCCTGACACCAGCATGCTGATTGCTGAAGACAGACATTTTGTGAAACAAAAACACCATTAGGCAGTCCAGAACAGTTCTTGTGCCAGGGGTGCAACTTGTCCCTTGCATAAAATTTCAGATTTCTCTTCTTACTTTTAAAATCAGAAGTGGACAAAGAGGTTGGAGTCACCCATTAACACTACAGCCCCATAATGACTACTACACTTGCTGAGGCACAAATTTAGCTCACTCAAAGTGAAGTCAAGTGAATTTACGTCTTATCAATCCAAATGACTTGATCTGCCAATGCCCGGAGGTCCCCAAAAAAAAGCCTTCAAGGGAGGTTCATAATGATGTTATAGATGACTGAAATGCTAGGAAATTGTGACAAATAAAATAACCCAATTAAAAGTAATTTTATACATGATTATTAATGTGAATAGACATAGAATAGCATGTAGAGGGCTGCATACTACTGATCCCTTTGAAGTACATGTCATGCATTACATTAGTCCTAGCCACCTGTTTTGAGGTGAACAAAAACAGTGTGACGAGAGTAATCTCGCCACATTGCATTGGAGAAGCCTGTTTGCCCGCCTGTTTGCCCGCCTGCTGCCTTTAGACTATGGCCCCATGTTGAAACACTTGATTTTCCCCTGCGGAGACACGAAACCTGGGTCATTCGGTGCTGGCCCTGTTTGAGCGGTGATACCCCAGATAGCTATGCCATGGAGCCCATTCGTATAATGAAAGACTATGGGAAAGACTTTGGCTCCATGGCAATTTAACTGTATGTGTGTGCTCTGAGCGCCATTCAGTAATAATGATCTGAGCTATCTGGGGATATGTTGAATGTACCTGTTTTGTGCAATGGCTGCACAGTTATATGTTTTTATGTGTTTTATTGTCTTTTGCTGCCATGTGTTCAATTGAGTTTTGCCTCTGTCCTTGGAGATAATTGGATTACTTCCCAATTCTCTCCAGGATAGAAGACTCTGTGGAACTGGTTTTGGGCAGAAAAGCCATGCTTCCTTTGGTCACAAAGGACTACGATCTATCCTTTGAACCACTGGACCAATTTGGATGATTTTTACATATGTTTGTATTTGGAGTATGCTGATTCTGAAAATGTATAAATTTATGTGAATGTGATGCATACTTTTCAAGTTATGAATAATGTGGAAAAATTGTATTTCTCTGCTTGTGATAATTACATTACCCATTGTGTAAGGTAATTGTATCACAGTCAGAGGGGAGGATTTTGTGTGGGAGTGTCTGAGTGTATTGTATGTGTTTATTGGTTGTGTTCCAAAACCCTGTGGGTGGTACTAAGGTGTATATAAGAACAATAAACCCACAGCTCTGTCTGTTCACTGCTTGACCCTCAACACGGAGCTTTGTCACGTTCTTGGGGGGATTTATTGTATGCTGTTCCAGTTCGACGGCTAGGAGTGTAAACCTATTCTGTTTTTTCCTATTTGCCTATTTACGGCAATCATATGCTTCTCCGGTTCGGTGGACTGATGTCTACAGTAGCTGTGCCTGTGTCTCTGGAAAGGGAAGATCCCCTAAACGGTTTTTAACCCCTTTTATGCCTGGGGGTGCCGTTAGACTGCAGAAACCAGTCTAGTCAAATGTCAGAAACTGTAAGATAATGTTTGGAGTTATTAAGGGGAGTTTAAAAAATCTATTTGCTTGTTTCCAAGTCCCCCAGCTCATTGTAACAGCCGCTGAGAAGCACAAATCTACCTCCAGTATATGAAATACATGTGATCAGTATAATATTCCAGAATTATAGTGCAGTCATGTGATTAACTGCAGATGTAAGGCACCCACGGTGCATCTTTTGCATTGAGGGTACCTTTCCTTATGATGTTCTGTTTCCATATCTATATATAACAAAGTTCTTTTTATAGTACAGGTATCTTGTTCCTGACTAATAAAATATAAGTTAGCGGCAGAAGGCAGTGTCACATCTATAAATAAATAGACACACAACCAAACCGAGCTGATCTCTCTGTGGAGAACCACCAATGGGATCAACGTACGAAAGTGTTTTGCTACCATAAGAAACTGGACAACGACAAATATCCATCAGCGGAGATATAAATAAAATATCCTGCAGTTTGTGTTTGCTGGAGCCATTCATCTGTAACTCTAGTACCGATTTAGTGTATCATAGAAAAGTGTAAAAGATACCCCCTTGCGCACATTTAAAAAAAGGAAAAACTCAAAATATTAACATTGCTCTAGATGTTACCTTTCGTAGCTCAACGGTCACTTCATTTCGATGTCTTCGCATAGTCTGTAGAAAAAAAAAATAAAAAATAGATTACTATTGTATATTTAGCAGATATCCAGACTAGAAGTATGTCATAGCAAACAAATACAGACAGTCCTCACTTACCAACCGGGTTCTCTTCTTACAACTGTTGTAAAACTAATTGTTGGTAAGTGAGGATGCGCTACAGAGCATGCGCACCAGCAGATCTATGTTCGGAAAAATGTCCCCGAACATAGACCAGCTCTCTAAAGTGGGGAATCCTTTGTATCCCTGCGCTAGAGAGCTGGTCATAAGACTGAGCAGTCAGACAAGTAAGTCTCAAAGTGAGGACTACATGTGGCACAACTGATAAGATCTCTTCTAGCATTTTGACTATGCATGAAGTGCATCCCAGAGCAGCAGGTGGGCTAGAGGTTTCCTGCACATACCACTCTAGCTGTCCTATTAATTCATTTCATATATAGTTTTAGTTCAAATAATAGGGGATGAGGGAAGGAAGAGAGTAAATAAATAAGATCCATACATGTACACCAAGCATGTTAAACATGCAGCCACACAATGAGTATATTTGCGGCCCAAGCCCGGACTGACCTACTGGGATACCGGGAAATTTCCCGATTGGCTGCCTGCCCTGGGGCCGCTTTGTGCTGTGGCCCTTCCACAGGCAACGGCTGACCTCATAAACACAAAACAGTCTTCCACACCGGCCGCCAGATATGCGCATACAGCGTATGGAGTCATATACGGCAGCTGCGCGCAGAGCAGGCCAGTCACTCCCCCTTCCCTGCTGCTCAAGTGCCAGAGGAGCAGATGCATAGAAGATCGTACAGGACTGGACAGGAAAGACGGCTTAAGGCAGAGGAAGATGGGCTTGGGGGAACCTTCATTTAGTGTAGTGTATTAAACTGGGGGGAGGGAGGTGACACAGTGTATTAAACTGGGGGGAGGGAGGTGACACAGTGTATTAAACTGGGGGGAGGGAGGTGACACAGTGTATTAAACTGGGGAGGGAGGTGACACAGTGTATTAAACTGGGAGGGAGGTGAGTGTATTAAACGGACAGTGTATTAAACTGGGGAGGGAGGTGATGCATTAAACTGGGGAGGGAGGTGACACAGTGTATTAAACTGGGGAGGGAGGTGACAGTGTATTAAACTGGGAGGAGTGGGTGGAGGACAGCATTAAACTGGGGGGAGGCACAGTATTAAACTGGGGAGGGGAGGTGAGAGTGTATTAAACTGGGGAGGGAGGTGAGAGGGAGGTGAGAGTGTATTAAACTGGGAGGAGGTGAGAGCAGGAGGAGGTGAGAGAGTATTAAACTGGGGAGGGAGGTGAGAGTGTATTAAACTGGGGAGGGAGGTGAGAGTGTATTAAACTGGGGAGGAGGTGAGAGTGGGGAGGGAGGTGGATTAAACTGGGGAGTGAGAGTGTATTAAACTGGGGAGAGTGATTAAACTGGGGGAGGGGGAGGTGAGAGAGTGTTAAACTGGGGAGGGAGGTGAGAGTGTATTAACTGGGGAGGGAGGGAGGTGAGAGTGTATTAAACTGGGAGGGAGGAGGTGAGAGTGTATTAAACTGGGGAGGGAGGTGAGTGTATTAAACTGGGGAGGGAGGTGAGACAGTATTAAACTGGGGAGGGAGGTGAGACAGTATTAAACTGGGGAGGGGAGACAGTATTAAACTGGGGAAGGAGGAGGGGCAGTGTATTCGAAAGGGTAGTTTATTAAATTATGGGGAAGTGTATTAGATTAAGGGGGAAAAGAGGGACACGGTGTATTATAGAGTGGTGGGAGAGGGTCAGTGCGTTTAATTGGGGGAAGGGAGCAGTGTGTTAAAATGGGGGGGGAAGGAGGCATTGTATTATACTGGGGGGAGGGAGGGGAGGCAGTGTGTTAAATTAAAATGGTGGGAGTGGGGGCAGTGTATTAAATTAGAGTGGATGAAAGGTGGGCAGTGTACTAGATTGGGGAACAAAGTAAGTAATTTGAAGAGAAGCTTTTTAGTAAATTATATATAGGTACCCAGGATTACATATTGTTTGCATGAGAACGATCAGAGTAATTTTAGTTTGTGTTGGTCTAGGTCGAACTATTTTTTTTGCGGCCCACAAACTTAAACCTTGTTTATTTGGCCCGTGTTCGCTTTTGAGTTTGACAAGCTTGATGTACAGTGTATTCCTACATGAATACTTTGGTTTTGTCAGTTTACGTATGCACTATTTTTAATTATAGCTTTCAGACACATTGTTATTAAAAGAAATGCTTATACAGTACATTTAATTGTTTACCCTTTGTTGTATGAATTTGCATGAATTACTTTTTTAAATTTAGAAGGAAAAGCAGTGTAATTCATACCAGCAATCCCCCTTCTTAAAATATGCCATCTCCAGTAATGCCTCCACCGTCACTTGATAACCTAACACAGTCTAGAAATACTCCAGACTGCTTCCAGTTTCCGCACAGTAGTGACGGGTTTAGATCAGTCAAGGCAGTAGGTATAGATGTCACAAGAAGCATTCAGAGCATCACGGACAGTGTGGACACAGAAGGTGAAAAAATGGAGGTGGAGGCTGGAAAAAATAAATCAAATGACAGAAGCTGTGGACATGAACTTAAGGGTCTTTCCCAAAGACCTTGGGTATATTGCTACTCTGGAGTAAATAGAACTACAGTCAGAAAGCAATCACTTTTAGGTACAGGTTAAAGAACTATTCAAACAAACCTATACAATAAACAAAGATAAAATACATAACATAAGAATAATGTTACATTACAATAAAACAAGAATAAGGTACCAAAAGTCCATATTAAAAGGACAGTTTAAGGACCATAACCACTACAGTACACTATCGACAAACGGTTTGACTATTGTGGAAGAACACCAGGGGACTCCTGCCACCATAACCACGATGCACTATTGTAGTTATGGTGCCAAGACAGATCCAACAATCCAATAAGGTCTGACGAAAATACATAGAAAAGATATAGAAAGTGGAACACATGTTAAGGACTTCTATGTAGAGAAAATATACTGACAGTACAAATGTTTATGGAAGAGAATATGCACTACAGCTGACTAAGATTAACTATTATAATCAAAGTCCCCACATGAGGCCTATGAATGTGGAATGTCATACTTTCATAACCAGCACAAAAAGTATGGGGAAAAGAAATTCTGGTAACATGCTGATCACCAGAAAGTGTAGCAGAAATCTGGTACACAACTTATTTCCTCATCTCTTCAAAATGGCAAACTGGCTTAAGGAAAAATGTAACAAATGGTCCAGCTAGGATTAACCCTTTTTTCTATAATCATAGCAGTTTCAGAGAATCCAGCCTCTAGTGGCTGTCTCATTGACAGCCGCTAGAGGGCTTCCGCGCTTCTCACTGTGATTTTCATCTTTGATCTTTGTTAAACTGCTCACAAAAGGTTTGACAAAGAACCAGTGGACAGCAACCGAAGTCTTTAGACAACATAAACATTAGTCGAAGCCTTAGTGGTTACGTTGATTAAAATGCCCCATTATTTTTTTTCTTTTCACACATAAGTTGTAAGAAATAAGGGTGTGTGTGTGTGGGGGTAGGGGGGGTCATTTTGAAACTCAAGCAGTTGTGGCAACTTTATACTTTTGCCATTACCATGATATTGATAATGTTTCTATGTCATCAACATATGGATTGTAAATGTGTGTCTAGCACAGGGATAGGCAACCTTCGGGCCTCCAGATGTTGTGGACTACATCCCCCAGAATGCTGGCAAAGCATCACGGGACGTGTAGTCCAAAACATCTGGAGTGCCGAAGGTTGCCTATGCTTGGTCTAGCAGATAGGATATCTTTACGAAAAAATGATGCAAGGCCTTTGCATTCCTATACAATGAAGTAATGCAGACATCAAACCACCACTGTGAATACAGAAATCACTGATCTTTTTGTAGGTGGTGTTGGCTGCTGCAACAGGGCAGAACATTTCCAACATATAAGCAGAGGAAATTCGGGTTTAAAGGACACACTTCAAAAAGTTGGCTGTGAATCCCATTTTCCAAAATACTGAACTATATTCTATATTAAAGGATGCCTCGGGAAATGCTGTTCAGGTACGCCTGACACATACTAATCTGGGTTACATACTTACTGTAAATTGACACTGTGACAGACTTTCAAAATGTAGTTTCAGAAGCAAGTGTACATGGGTACAACACATTTACACTAAATGGACGAGCACTTGATTCATATACACGATTTCATTTAAATTCTTTTTATATATAATTAAACTTAAAAATAAACAAAAAACAAAAACATCACCTCCTCCTAACCTGACAATCAAAACTCTGCACATTCTTCATGCCGAGTAAAACTCTGCTCACCCTCTAAAGCAGCTAAAGTGGAGTTGTATAGATTCTCTGCTAAAGATTACAAGAGCCTTGCACTTTGCCATATGATTAAAGGGACACTCCAGGCACCCAGACCACTTCTGCCCATTGGAGTGGTCTGGGTGCCAACTCCCACTCCCCATAACCCTGCAAGTGTAATTATTGCAGTTTGTTATACCTTGCAGGGTTAACTCCACCTATAGTGGCTGTCTACAGATTGTTTTCCTGGCACTGGAGTTTCCCTTTAAAGAAAAACACACAGGGGTAGTAAGGACAAGGAGATGGGTGTTTCAGATTAAAAAATATTTTCCTGGACAGTGCAGGGGAAGGGGTAAATAACACATTAAAAGTAGCCTGGGTTCAAGCACTGTCATTTATACTCATGAAGAATCTGAAAATATATATATATATATATATATATATATATATATATATATATTGTACAGCGCTACGGAATTTGTTGGCGCTATATAAATAATAAAATAATAATAAATTATATCAGATATCAAATAATACGATTAATTGTGCACTTGAACAACTACATTAAAGAAAGTGAATAACCCAGTTATTTAAACAAGTTAAGATCACATTAGTAATGATTACACAAATAGCTTGCAAGGAGTGGCTTTGAACTACAGTAGAATGACTAGCCCATTGATATTCAATAATCAAAAAATAAGTGAGGTTTTCTGGCCAATGTAAATAGTGTGAAAACATACTGAAAGTGAAGCTTCTGGTTTTGGGTAACTCAGTGGGCTATCCTAGTGGTTAGGTTATGGAAACAGACTGACTGTTCTTCTGGTACAGATAAGAACCCTTTGAAACATGTAGTATAAGAGACCATGGCAAGGACCAGAGTGAGTAAATCAACCATACATGTAAATGAGGGGTTGCCAGGGAATTGGAAGGAGATAGGAATGGACAGTTTGTCTACTTCTCCTATAGAGTTTAGGGATACTTGGATTCCAAGATTGAACAAATCAGACTTTGATTATCAATACCTGTTGCAAAAGTGTTACAGCCATATATACACAACGGCTCTAGGTGTGGCATGGAAATCTGTGCAGTGTTGAACGAGTGAGTACGGCACTACTGAAGGAATACCTGAGGATGCATGCACCATCTCTTTATAGATCACCAAGAATGCCTGGAAGATCACGGGTAAAGTTACCCTACACTGGATGTGCAGTGGAGGCATCAGTGTTTTAACTTACCACTGCTGTGTTACTCACAGTAGTATACGCTTCAATAGCATTTACAGAAGTGTGAAATGAGAAATGTCACTTTCAGAGATGTTAAGCTTTTAAATCACTAGTTTGACAAACCATCAATTTACTGCAATATAATTCGGATATTTGATTCAGGAACAAATGCATGATTGGTAAAAAGACAAATGTATTTAAGTGGCAATAATTCTACGTCTTTCCTTGTCACCTTTCTTTCTATCTATTCCTAAAAGATTATTTGATTTTGAATATTGCCATGCTTGTACAACGGTCACAGGCGTAGGAGGCTATGATAAGCTTAATTCATGAAGTATGCCATCCAGTGCAGCTTTACTATAGGTATGTTCCTGTATGGCTGGTAAACTGTCGTTTTATGGACGGTGACAATTTCAAGGGCTGATTTACAGACCTAATTGGAACCAGCACAGAATTATCACATACTGATCTGCAAAAATGAAAAGGCCCCCTCATTTGACACTACTTTATATGGAAACTATAGTCACCAGAACAACTACAGGTTAATGTAGTTCTGGTAAATATAATTAGTCCCTTTAGGCATTTTCATGTATACACTGCTTTTTCAGAGAAAATGCAGTGTTTACATTGCCCCTAGAGATACCTCCTGTGGCCCCTGAAGGTTCTTCCTGGGGCAGTGCTGCACAGTAGGCTGCATTGCCGTTCAGCATCTCCACGCTCTTCATGGAGAAGTTGAATTTTCCTAATTTAAACCCAATTACTAAATGCTTTCCTATGGGGATCTTTTTTGACACTGGAGGTTCGGGAGGATGTCCAAATAAGTGCAATTTACTCAGTGTAAATGGTGGAAGCTCTGAAACTGCTATATTTTCAGCTGAAGGGTTAAAACTAGGGGGACCTGGCTCATTGAGCTGAAGTGGTCTGGGTGCCTATATTGGTCCTTTTATGCCAGATTCTGTGGAACTCCTTTCCCTTCTCCGTTAGACTTTCACCCAGTCTCCACTCCTTCAAAAAATCCTTGAAAACACACTTCTTCAGGAAAGAATATCAATTAAACTGTTAGCGGGTTTTCATTCATCCGCCTCTCCCCCCGACTCCTCTCCGGCAACTGTCAAAAATAACCTACGTTTATTTAAATAGTTTTCTAGCAACCTATTTCATTACCCCTACTTATACCCTTTGTGTCACTATACCCCACTCCCTCTAGGATGTAGGCTCATTGAGCAGGGCCCTAAAACCCTGTGTTCCTGTGCATCCATTTGTCTGATTACAATTACGTGTCTGTTAGTCCACCCATCATTGTACAGTGCTATGAAATTTACTGGCACTATATAAATAAAAATAAAATAATTTGTGAAGAAATTGTGTTGCTTTCGCTAAACACATTAAATGTACAGAATATCGGCACTTGTTATCGCCTATCAGCTCAAAAGACAACCAATAATCTGTACTGGCTCTGGAAATTGATATTGGGCATGGTCTAGTTTAAACACAGTCTGCTCTTCAAGGCCTGCTCTGACTCACGGGAAAGTGATCAGTCCAAGTTATAAGTGCAGCATGTGTATGCCTCACGCACATTGGCCAATGTTTTTGGTGGGCTGTCTTAAATAATTATTACACATCACCGCAGTTACAATCCACTCTTTAGTAAGTGGGTGTAGGGTATTCTCTGTACCATCAAGTTTGCAATAATGGAAAGTTGTTATAGTGCAGATTCTGATAACCATTTATTGGTAGTAGTGCCTGAAGTTCCTTGGCACTGTGTCTCTGTTCAATGTTGAAACACATTCAAGCGGTTTAGCACTGAATGAAAGCCTGTGGCTTTCAACAGTCAAGCTCCCCATAGAGGTTTGGCTAAGGCAAAGATTACACACTTCCTTACTCATATCAAGTCATGGCAGCAATGTACTGATGTGATGGGCTGAAGAAGGCTAGCTGACATTTTCAGCCTACCACCACCACTATTGCTCATGCGAATGCTTACTTTACTCATTAGCGCAAGCAGCAGAGAATGGACTGCTTGGGACTCTAGTTTAGCATTGCAATTTCTTGCAATTTAGGAGTTAAAGGACCACTATAGGCACCCAGAACACTTCAGTTCAATTAAGTGGTCTGGGTGCCAGGTCCATCTAGAATTAACCCTTTCTGCTGTAAACATAGTTAACCTATGGGTTAATCCAGCCTCTAGTGGCTGTCTCATTGGCAGCCACTAGAGGCATTTCCGCGCTTCTTACTGTGATATTCACAGTGAGAAGATGCCAGCGTCCATTGGAAAGTATTGAGAATGCTTTCCTATGGACTGGCTGAATGCGCGCACGGCTCTTGCCGCGCATGTGTATTCAGCCAGTGACGTCAGAAGAGGGAGGAGAGTCCCCAGCGCTGAGGGAGCCCCCTTCCTCCCCCCTCTTTCAGATCGGCAGGAGTGGGACCCTGAGGGTGGGGGCACCCTCGGGGCACTATAGTGGTCCTTTAAGGTAAATTACAGCTGATTGAAAGTGAAACCAGTTTTTTCATGCAGACTGTGTCAATCATAACCAGGGGAGGTGTGGCAAGGGCTGCATAAACAGAAACAAAGTGATTTAACTTCTAAATGGCAGTGAATTGAGCAGTAAAACCTGAGAGGCATGATCTATACACTAAAACTGCTTCATTAAGCTTAAGATGTTTAAGCTAAAGTTGTTTAAGTGACTATCATGATTCAATACACAAACTGCTTCATTAAAGGACCACTCTAGGCACCCAGACCACTTCAGCTTAATGAAGTGGTCTGGGTGCCAGGTCCAGCTAGGGTTAACCCATTTTTTCATAAACATAGCAGTTTTATAGAAACTGCTATGAATGGGTTAAGCCTTCCCCTATTTCCTCTAGCGGCTGTCTCATTGACAGCCACTAGAGGCGCTCGCGTGCTTCTCACTGTGATTTTCACAGTGAGAGCACGCCAGCGTCCATAGGAAAGGGAGGAGAAGAGGAGGATCGGAGGAGCAGAGCTCCCCGCCCAGCGCTGGAAAAAGATAAGTTTTAACCCCTTTCCCCTTTCCAGAGCCGGGCGGGAGGGGGTCCCTGAGGGTGGGGGCACCCTCAGGGCACTATAGTGCCAGGAAAACGAGTATGTTTTCCTGGCACTATAGTGGTCCTTTAAGCTAAAGTTGTTTAAGTGACTATAGTGTTTCTTTAGGATAGGAGAAAAATAGAAACAAAGGCAGCAACAATGTAACTCACTGATTGATACATAAACTTACAGTCTTAGAATAGTCAATCAATAAAAGCAAATTTATTCTGATCCACTTAAACGGACATTATACAGGGACACACAGATCCACTGGATACATAAGATAATGGATGACTAGTGATTAACGGGCCAACCTGTAGTCACCAGAACCACGACAAAATTTTAATGTAGAGGTTCTGGTGTCTATAGCATGTCCCTGCAGTGTGCAGAGAAGATGCACTAATTCAATGCATCTGTATGAGGAGATGCTGCTTGGCACAGCGCAGCATTTTGCCGCACATGTGCAATAGCCTTCCAATACTTTCCTGTGAAAAAGCATTGGATTGGTTGAGATTATCAAGACTGATCACCTCAGCCATAGAGGATGAAATAGACAAACATCCGCGGCGAGTCCAGCATGACATGGGATAAGAGGAAAGTAAAATCACCTTTTTACTGCAGAGAGGAGGCTGGTAATCTAAACAGCCACTTCAGCACTATAGTGTCTGGAATACGTTTGTATTCCTGACACTAAAGCGTCCCTCTAACTACTGAAGGCAAACATTTAATGCTTGACTGAGCCAACACTAACTTTATGTATCAATCAAGGGGTTACTTTGCAGCTGTTTTTCCTCTCTCTCCCTCTCGGAGTCTGATACCTATTTGTTTGCAACTATAGAAGATCTGCTTACAGACACACTAGCTGTATGATAATTTACTCCTTTGGCCCAGAGACTCAAAAGAGCCACTATAATCCCCCAGACAATTTCATCTCAATACTGTCATACTGACAGCCACTATAGGTGCTTCCGCTGCTCTGACCAAGTATAAAGCAATCACGTGACACGAAAGTCCCCATAGGAAATAATTTCTTAAATGCGAATGTGGCACTTTCCACGCTCCTCTATGATAAGCACTGGACCATCATTGAGGTGGCCATGCCTCCTTTATGGACATGTCACACGTCATGGTTCCTTAAGGGGTTAAGAGTAGTCCCTTTTAGTAATTGTTACACTTGTTTACATTGGCTGATTTGGGGGAATTTATTTAGGTTCTAGATTAATTCTAATTAGGTTCCAGTATCTTTTTATTGATAATTATTTAAATCACAGTTTAGGGGTTAGATTATTGGTGTCAGAGGTCTGATTTTTTTTCAAACCACATTGAGCTTTAGTGGTTATGGTTGGCCACATTTCATATATTAGTGGTACATGTGGTGAGAGCCATGGTTGCTTTACGTCATAAGCACTATTCATTTGCAAGAGTTTATTAATCCACCTCGATTAAATTGCCCAGTCAGTACCGTTATGGGAATATATATCACCTCGTAGAAACAAAGAGGAACTTAAACATTTATCTTTAAAGAGAAAGAAAAAAAAGAAAGTAGACAAATGGACAGTGTTTAATAACTAAATTTGACATTAGACTTGATGACATTCATTTCCATTGTACAGCCAATTACTCGTAGTAAACGAAGCATGTCACATATTTGGTACAAGAATAGATTATGATGGACTTAGTAAGCATTCCTTTTATAAGATGATGTGTACTTGTAGACATGACGTGTATGGGAATAAAATGCTTTAACACAATAAACAAATTTTTTTTTAAGTGTCTTCTAAAGTAAATGTCTCCAATGCATAATATTGTAAATTTGACTTTAAAATACCAATCTGTCACAGATCATACTCAAAGCAGATGACAGATTTGGAAGATAACAGCAAAATTGTGAGACTTCACATGTTGATTTACACAGAAACGTAAATATGAACAACGGTCGTCCATTACCAATATAATTTAATGGTTTTCGTTTCCTTCTTAAAACAAAACAACACTTTAAATATAAGATAAAAGCGCATTTTAATATTTAAAAATGCAACATAACCTTAATATTCATATTTTGAAATCTTCATTCTTATTCCTGTAAATGTGGACTCCCTTATATCCATAAACAATGGACTCAAGTGCCTATTTCAAGAGTATACGGAATCAACTCAACTATGAATGCCAACTAATATTGGTACGATACCTTACCAACCAGCATAAACCGGTTTGGCAATTATGTCCATATTACAGAAGTTAATGCCTATGTGAATGGAGGTTCCCACTTTGGGCTGTGTGACCTTTATAACTGTGGCCTGTATAACTAGCAAGTCTGTCTGTACCAGGTGGAGGGGCAGCATTAATAATACTGGTGCCATCTAAAGGAAGTCAGATTCATAGCCACCACCAAATTCCCACACTTTTTTATTTTAATTCAGCATTGCAGAGTATCACTACATTATTCTGCCCATCAAAATATTCATGGGGAAATAGTAAAATTATAATAATTCCCTTTATGAGTCCAACACATCCTTATTATCAGTAATCCCTCATTGCAGAGATTGCCCATCTCTGACATTCTAGGGGTTACGTTTACCTCCCATCACACTCAGCCAGCTGGGAATCAGCACAAGCAGGCTGAGGGTGCTGTGATTGGCGATCCACACGGCTGGCTAGGTGGGAGTGCCATTAGGATGTCTCACGGGCCGCCACAGCATGTGGCTGCTGGCTGGCCCACAGTGAGGTAAACGCCGCTGAGCTGGCTGAGGATTATGGGAGTGGCAGTCACAGGGCATCATGGGAAACGTAGTTCCCGGCAGCCGGAGTTTCCCCCATCCCTGCCCTATCCGGTTCCCCAGGCCGGGGCTGGCTGGGATCCCCTCAGGCCGGCTCTCAGCCCGGGGGAGGCCGGGTGGCTAGCAGCGGGGCTGGCCTGGCGACCTCTCTCTCTCTCACCTCCACATCCCGCCCTTTGTTCTTGAAGCTCTTGATGCGGTGGTTCTCCAGGCCGGCGCTCTCCGCCATGGCGGCTCTCTGCCTCTCACTGCCCGTTACCGGCTGCGACAACAAGCACCGCGCGAGCCGCACTCCCCCGCCCTGCGCGCGCTCGACGACGACGACGACAAGGTGGGAGGGATGGGGGAAGGGAGGGGCTGTGACGTCACCGGGCGGGGCGGAGCCAGGCTGCGCGAGCCTGCCATGACCACACTCAGTTACTTAGAACTCCAGCCTCCCCATACAGCAAATATATCTGTATATAAATAATGTGCGCCCTGCTTTAACAGGGGTAAATAACGGGAATTGGTGGGTAAATGGATAGGGTTTAAGGGGGTGGAGCACGTGGTGGATGGCTGAGGAAGCTGAGAGTTTATGTCTCCGCTTGCTCATTATAGAAGTCAAAGACGGCGGCCATTTATTCGGAGACTATTTGCTCGTTGAAGCTGACGGAGTTGTCTCCGCAAAAATGGCGCCGATGGTGGAGACGAGCGTTTTTTTTGTTTTTGTCTCTAGTGTTTATAGTGCCCCGCCCCCCTCCCCCGCCCAGCAGGAGGAGGTCCAGTGACGTTCTTTTGTCGCGTGACGTTATAAAGTCAGGTGACTCGGGAGAACGCTCTAGAGCCGCAGCGGATTAAAGGTCACGCCCACTTGGTGCAGAGGTTAATGTCGCCGTCCTCAGTGTGTGCGATGGCTGGGCTGGAGCATTTTGGGATGTCACACCTGAGAGCAGTATTGGATAGCACGGGTTAGCAAAAATACATAGCCAGGATGTGCTAGAACTACAACTCCCATGATGCTTTGCGAACATAATGGATTTCTGTGTATCATGGGAGTTGCAGATAAACCATGTCTGAGCTTCTCATATGTAGATCAGGGTTGGGCAACCTTTGGCACTCTACATGTTATGGACTACAGCTCCCATAATGCTCTCAAAGACAAAATGCTGGCAAAGCATCATGGGAAATGTAGTTTACAACATCTAGAGTACCAAAGGTTTCCTACCCCTGAGTTAGATACTGTTTACTTTGCACAATGCATGTACAAAATGGGGGTGCCCAGGGTGTGCTCCGGCACTCCCTAGGACACGCCATCCGGCTTCTCGTTAGCTGCACTTTTAATGGATATTCACTCAAAAGGTGTAGTCTTTGAACTCTAAATTATAGCGACTTGAAATGATAAATCACCTACATAATCTGCTGGCCCTGTATAAATAATAAAATAATAGCCAAGCTGTAGTGGAGTCCAGGAATTGTTTCTGCTGTTTTTAACTTATTTAGTATAATTCAGAGTCTAGTAAATGAGCCACTTGCTGGGAATTTGAAGTTATAGGCTAAAATATTTGAACTGAAAATTCAGCTGCAAATCTGAGATTTATTTTTTCTGGTTATGTTGTTTTGGCTTAAAAGGGCACACTGAACCCCTTAAACGTTGGGGGATAACTGCATTCCACCTCGTCACTTATGTAAAAGTGCTGATTCCGAGAGAAATTGACTCTGAACTCTCAAGCTTTACCATTTTGGCAGTAAAACACCCTCCTCCTTGAGTAGATACTCCCAGTTAATCCCAGGGTATAAAAAAGGAAATAAAGTGTTATAACTTAAAGCAGAGGGTTCCCAACCCAGTCCACAAGTACCTCCTAACAGTCCAGGACTTGGGAATTACCCTATTATTATTATTATATTTATAGAGCGGGTGGACGAACATGACTGCTGACCCAACCAAAACCCGTTGCCCCCCAATAATACACGTGACACCTCCTTCTTGTGGATAAGGGCAACAGCCACAGCTTTATTTAATATAACAATTTTACCTTAGTCCAATTCTGCCAGCTGTTGGGTGTTGCCCAACAGGCAGTTCTCACAAATTCTGTCCCATGAGCCTCGACAGCCGGCTCCTCGCCATCAGCTCCGTGCAGGCTGTCGTCTCCCCCAAAGTTCCTTTTATCTTCTGCACTGTCTAGGGAAACCCGCCACCGCGATGCCCACCTCGCGCACTACGCTGCGCGGGCATCGCGCCCCCCCGCCAACAGCGCCGCCTCAATTCCAGCTTGTAGTCCCGTATTGAAAATATCTAACCCAATGGGGGACAAATGAACACCATCCCGTCTCATTACATCATCATTAACCCCTTCCAACTCAAAGTGTCTAACCACTATACCTCCCAATTGGCACACAAACCGGGACATGGACATATTGACCTTACGCCTATAGCGCTCTAACGTGACCTCCGGACCGGGCGCGGAACGATCTTGGACCAATCGAGGGTCAGGTCCCGGAACAACGCAAAACAGCAGGCCACGTCATGCCGCATCGCGCGAACCAGGTCCACCGACCGTCGCCATCGTTCCCGCCCGCGTGAACCACTAAGATCACCGTCCCTGACACGCAGCGCCGGAGCTGCACCAGCTCGCCGTATAGCCCCTCCCATGACAACCCCCGAATCCCCCTCCAACGTACCCTTGCTACCTCGTACGATAAACCGATGTTACGGTCATAGGGTCTAGTCTCAGCACGCCTAGCCTCCCAATAAACAAAGGAGTGACCCACGATCCAGACAAATTGCGGAGAAGGACCTACAACGAAAATAACAGAAAACCATAACTGCTGCGCCGCTAGCCTACAGCAAATGGGGGCGCACATAGAGCTGGAACCGACCCCACTGCCAGCGCCCCAAACGCATGAGCGCCTCTGTGGGGAGGCCCAGCTGACTAGCCTGCGTGTCAGCCCCGATTCGAAATGAGTGTGTGGTGTACAAACCTGGAGACAGCCCAATGCTACCAACCCCTGCACTAAGTACCCTGGCGAATTGAAACCGGCTGAGTGATGACCCATCCCTGTGCCGTAACAGGGACCCCGCCTCCGATCCTCGCATCTCCAAGAAGTCCCGCAGCAACCTAACTGGGCAAAACCGCTCACCGGTAGCCTGAAACCACACCGACGCACCCTCTCCTGCCTGATCTGTCTTAGACTTTCGAATGAGCAACGTCACGTCGCGCGTCGAAACCTTGATATCAGCTATTTGCATGGCAGCCAGCGCTCGTGTACTGGGAGCCACCAGCTCGCCTATCCGAAGGGCCGCAAAGAAGCAGAGAGCAAACACGGCCCGAAACAGGAGGACCTCATAGACCGAGACGCAAATCTGGGGCAGACGCTCTAGGAGCCTGCACAAGATCTCATAGGAGATTGGAAGCAGAGTGTCCGGCCCTTCATGATCCGTGAGACGCAGAATGACTTGGTAGCATCCTGCCACCCACAACACTGGAACAGAAAAGACAGGGCCGCTAACTATCTCTCGGCCGCCGCTGCTGCCGACCTACCCTCCGCGCAGAGCAACTCCAAGAAGGCCAAAGTCGCGCCCAACCTACCTTCGTCCGAGGACGCATCTCCGTCATTGCAAACAGCCATCCATTTCCGCCTCACCGCAGAATACGACCTCCAAGTCGACTCCGCTAGTGACTCCCTCACCAACCGTCTCAAATGGTGGAAACCAGGTCCCAAATGCCCACCGGGCACGAGGTGCCAGTCCGCGCCGCCTCTGGAGCAGCCACTCGAAACCTGTCCTACTGAAACAGAGAGAGTCCGCTATAACGTTCTGCTCCCCAGGCACATGGCGCGCAACCAACCACAAATTATGAGCTAAGCTAAGCAGTACCAGGCGCCGGAGGAGCGTCAACACCTGAGGGGACGCCGACGTAGAGCGGTTGATCACATGGACCACACTCATGTTGTCCGTGTGCACCACCACCTTCCGATTCGACAGCTCAGCACCCCAGAGTTCTACTGCCACCACAATTGGAAAGAGCTCCAGAAACGTTAAGTTACTCACCAATTCAGTCTCTAGCCAACATCGTGGCCAGGCCTCCTTGCACCAACGCCCTCGAAAGTAGGCACCGAAACCCACGGACCCAGACGCATCGGTGTACAATTCCAAATCCGTGTTGGACACCGCCGGGCGCAGCCAGCAGGATTGCCCGTTGTACTTACCCAGAAATGAACTCCAAACCTGCAGATCCTCTCGATGCCGGTGAGTGATCTGAATGAAGTGAAACGGCTGCTTGACTCCCACCGTCGACAATGACAAGCGACGACAAAAAACCCTGCCCATCGGCAATATCCGACAGGCAAAGTTCAGATGTCCTAACAAGGACTGTAACTGTCGGAGCTGTACTTTTTTGGCCCCTTTCACTGAATCCACCAGCCGCAGCAGGTGATTCAATTTGTCGTCCGGCAAACGGAAAACCATGCTCCGAGTGTCCACTTCAATCCCCAAGTAGGACAAGACTCCCACTGGCCCCACTGTCTTCTCTACCGCGATTGTAACGCCAAAATCCGCCGTGATGGCTCGAAAGGAATCTAAAAGCACCGCGCAGTCATCAGACTCCCGTGAACCCACAAACAAAAAATCGTCTAGATAATGCGTGATCGACTCTATCCCTGCAACCCGAGCGACTACCCATTCCAAAAACGACGCAAACATTTCAAAATAAGAACAAGAGAGCGCAGCCCATAGGCAAACACATTTCAAAGAAAAAGGAACCTCGAAACCGACAATCCAACAGGTGAAAACAGTCCGGGTGGACCGGGAGCAGTCGAAAAGCTGACTCGATGTCCGACTTAGCCAACCCTGTCGAAAACCCGTCCAGCAGAACCCCTGCATCCTTACGCTTGGGATACCGGTCGAGCCAAGGGCGCATCCTTAGCACGCTCACTGGCGTCCTCCGCTCTAGTGAGATCCTCCCTATTGGGTCTCCCACCTTGCTTGCCCTTTTTGAAGCATCGCAGCGCAGGGTGGGCCCCTCCACAATAAGAGCACTCGTGCCTGAATCGGCATGATCCAAACCACTTACAGTGACTCTCATTGTAGAGCCAGCAGACTCCCCTGCGCTGCCCAGCCGGCACACCGGACGACGCGCCGGCCGCTCCTGGAAAGGGGGACGGACGCCTGGGAGTCATCAGCAAGAGCCAAAGGCTCCCGTCCTGCACCCCAAAGTCCATACCTGCACACACCGCCATCTTCTGGCGAAACTGTTGGTCATAACGAAACCAACATTGTCCCCCATAAACCTTGTACGCCCCCCAGATAAGGTCTAAATACCCAAATAACGCCGGTGCCTTCTCAGGAAAGGCCCGCGTCAGCACACTGGCGAATATGGAGAACCTTTGAAGCCAGTTCCCAAACGTCCGCGTCAGCTGCTTACCCCTGTCACCGTGCGCCGAATCCCCCCGCTGCGGTCTATCCACAGACTCCCGATCCGGGGGGACCAGGGCCAGGAAATCCACGTATTCACCCTTGACAATTTTTTCCTGAACATCCAGCGCCACATGCATCCCTAGTGGGGACAGCTCACAACCTAGCAAGCACCCTTGAGCCCTAACTAACCGGGCATGCAACTGACCCCTAGCCCTGTCCTGGGCCTGTGCCGGGAGAGTAACTGGCACTGGAGACACAAAGGGGCCCCCCCCGGGAGCCGATCTAACACCGCCCTAAGTAACCCCAGTACTTCCTGACCCCTTACCCCATTAGCTACACTCTCCCCAGCTAGCGCATTCCAAGCGCTGGTGCAACACTTACCGCTGGCCGGCTGAGGATGCTGGGCATCACCTTCCTCTGAACAGGAACTGGACCCTGATGACTGGGGTGATCCACGGCCGGCCTCCTGGCCCGACCGTACTCTGCTCGCCAGAGTGCTGCAGCTTGCACTCCTGTGGACTCTCCTCCTTCCGGTGCCCTCCTGGGCGCTTGTCGCGTGGTTCCTGGCTCACTTCCTGCCGGAACCACGCTGGAACGCAAGGCCTGTGACGGCCGCGCTGTCCTGCGCGGTGACGTCATGTACGCGCCATGCGTGCTGACGTTGCTTCCGGCTGTGTCCACGTCCGCGCCGAGCATGCGGACCGGAAGAGAAGCGCACGGGGAGTGCGATCTTCCCGCCCTTTTTGCACCCTGTATTCCGCCGCCATCTTGAGCCTGGACACCGCCACCATCATCCGCACGGCTCCGTCTCCTCCCGGGTACCGCACACCGATCCTGTAGCGCGACCGAGCCGCCACTTCTCCCCCTCCTCCGGCACCGAACAGGACTTGGAGAAAGACGCGACGGAGGCCTTGATCTCCTAGCCCTCCGTCCGTCGTGGGCAGCACTGGACACCTCATCATGGGTGACACCGCGGACTCCTGCCATCAGCTCTCCCAGGGCTCCCTGTCCATGCACCTCCAAGTACACCTGCAGAAGCCTCTGTAACTCAGCTCCAGAGGCCGCCATGACCATCAAACGGCAGCAACAGGTATGGTCAGCAGGAAACAGGGAAGGGAGCACAGTACAAGCAATAAAAGAAGTAAATACTGATTGTGATGTTTTTTTCTTACAGGGACAAAAGAAAAAAAAACAGTCAGGAGCCCTAAGTTATCCTGCTGACTGGTAAGTCCCCTCCCTCTCCCTTTCCTTAAGAACCACCACTTTAGACACAAATGTATCCATCTTAACCCAGCCCCCAATCTTGGGCAGCAGTCATGCTCCCCCTTCCTTATTGTTCCAGGGGGAAACTGACATGTAGATGTAACCAGACAAGTTGGACACACAGGAACAGAGGAGTTGAGGGCCCTGGTCAATGAGCTTACATGCTAGAGGGAGTGGGGTAAAATGACACAAAAGGTAAGGATAGTATTAGACTAGTGACAGTTGCAGAAGAGGAATCCGTCAGGAGCTATTAACCGTTTAATTGATACGCTTTTATGAAGTGGGTTTTTAACGATTTTTTTTGAAGGAGTGGAGACTGGGTGAGCATCTAACGGAGGAGGGAAGCGAGTTCCACAGGAACGGTGCAGCCCTCGCGAAATCTTGAAGGCGAGCATCAGAGATGGGAGTACGGCAGAAGATAGACGTAAGTCTTCAGCAGATCGTAAGGGCCTAGACGGGACATACTTGTGTATAAGGGAGGATAGATAGGTGGGAGCAGCATTATGTAGAGATTTGAAAGCAAGAACCAGAATTTTAAATTGAGCTCTATATTTTATAGGAAGCCAATGTAGGGACTGACAGAAGGGTGAGGCATGGGAGGTGCGGGCGGACAGGAAGATGAGCCTCGCCGCCGCATTCATTATGGACTGTAACGGCGCAGTTGGGAGCACGTAAGACCACTGAGAAGCGGATTACAGTAGTCAAGGCGAGAAAGGACAGTGGAATGGACCAACACCTTAGTCGCATCTGGCGTTAAGTAGGGGCGGATGCGCGCAATGTTTTTGAGATGGAAATGACAGGATTTGGCGATAGATTGAACATGAGGCTTGAAGGAGAGGTCGGAGTCAAAGAGAACACCTAGGCAGCGAGCCTGCGTGGTGGAGCTGATGGTAGCACCGTTGACTTGGAGGGAGACAGACACAGGAGTAACAACACTTGAGTGAGGAAAGACCAGAATTTTAGTTTTGGTCAAGTTTAGTTTAAGGAAGTGGGCAGCCATCCAGTTAGAAACAGCAGAGGCAGTCAGAGACACTAGTCAAGAGGGACAGGGAGAGATCAGGAGAGGACAAGTAGATTTGCGTGTCATCTGCATAGAAATGATATTGGAAGCCAAAGGAACTAATGAGTTTACCAAGGGAGGCAGTATATATTATGTCTAATGTGTTTTTAGAAAAGAAAAAAAAAAAAAAACACTTTACACACAACAGGTTAATCCCTAAACCCTGGACCTGTAAGGAGTACTTGAGGACTGGATTGGGAACCCCTGCCTTAAAGGGACACTGTAGGCACCTAGACCACCTTAGCTCATTGAAGTGGTCTGGGTGCCAACCTGCATCACCCTTAACCTTGCAAGTGTACTTATTGCAGTTTTTATAAACTGCAATAATTACCTTTTAGGGTAAATTCATCTGTAGCGGAGCTGCAATATTAAATCCCACAATCTCCACTGGTACAGAAGGTAATCCAAAGTAAAGTGCTGAAAAGTAAGGCAATATCCCAAATCCCCCAGTAACCGGACAAAACACAGTTCTGGGAGTCAACTGAGGTTTTTATTCAGAGGTCACAGTATTTATGCAAGCCCCATGCAAGGGGTTTCCCTACTGACATAGCAGGGGTAATACAGTAGGGGACTACATGGGGGACTTGGCAGCAGAACCAACATTTTAAATGAAAATCTATAACTTTGACAATATTCATGTTATTTAGATGAATGGACATTCGGTAGATAGCTGGGGTCTGAGTGCACATTTTGTGAGTATACCGCTCAGATCCCAGCTTAAACAACCGAACGCCGCACGAAATACACTTTAACATTGGGTTCGCCTAAAAGTACCGAACACCGATGGGGAACCACAATAGTGAAAAGACTGGAGCTGCCGAACGGCCTGGAAGTCCAGCGATGTTCGCGCCGTCGAGTAGCCGATTTCGGCTCCACGCGCTCGACGACCAAACAACGCTGGTGAGACAAAGGATCCAAGATGGCCGACCGCCGCGTGGTCGGTAGCCGAACGATGGACACCTAGGAAAGCCTTTGACTACCGATTGCAACACGCCTCTCTATGTGTGGGCTACAGGGGGGTAGCTCATTAGTTTCACGAACAGCCGGTAAAGTCGCTGTTCGTGAAACGAAATACATGAATGCTAGCGGCTTTCGGCTGCCAGCATACGAATTCTATACACATAGCAGTACAGACCAATGTAACAACGTATAATACAGCGGTTATTGCAGAAAACCTTTAGTACAAATAGGTAAGCATAGCACAAGTGGCTAGTTTGCCACATCATCCTCTTGTGGCTGTCTACTAGAGGGACTTCCGGCTTCTTAGACGACTTTTGGTCGTCTAAACGACGCTGGACGTCCTCACGCTCTGCCTGAGGACCTCCAGCATCATTGAAATCCCCATAGGAAAGCATTGGATAATGCTTTCCTATGGGGATATCCTAATCCAACTTCGGCCATTGCCGAGAATGCGCATTAGGTTTCCCCCATCAGTGGGGGAGGACCGTGGACAGAGCCTGACCCAGTGCAGAGGGACATCGGTGCTGGATTCAGGTAAGTGTCTGAAGGGGTTTTAACCCCTTCAGCGACATGGGATGGGGCACTCCAGGATTCTCTAGTACCGGGTTTGTTTTCCTGGCACTAGATAATACCTTTATTATACAGAGGTAAATAATGGCAATAAAGACTACTGCTCATGTTGTAAAGAACCTTAAAGACCGGCTCAAGGTATCTCTGGTGTTCAGTGCTCATTGTGGGTAGCACATAACCCCCTCTGTGCTGCAGGGTAGGCAATTAATATTGCATAATCCAATATACTTAATAAAAAGTACATCTATGCTACGATACAATACACATACATTTTAATAAAAACGATTCTATAAAACCACAATGTGTTTTGCCAATATCCTCTGCTTTTTTTAGTTGGTAACCCGCATAATCCAGGCGAGTTCTCGTGTAAGGTGTCTTTCAATCCGGCATGCTGTCACAGAATATCCTCTACCCTGATCTGCAAGATCATGCTACTCTTAGAGACTGTTGGGAGGGAGAGCACTGTGTGCCCCTCCCCCCCCAAATTGGTCACTTCAACATTGCAGAATGTGACTGTGACGAGCAATCTCGCCACATTGCATTGGAGAAGCCTGGTTGCTCGCCTGCTGCCTTTGGATTACGGCCCCATGTTAAAAGACTTTGTTTCCCCTGCAGAAAAGACTTATTCATGCTTTTCTGCCCGGTGTTCAGTAGATTCAATTTACCGAACAACCGCACGAATGACTAGACTACCTGGGAGCTGGAGTGTGCCGGCAATTAGCCTCCCAGAAGCTGCGGTTAACCGCAGCTTAATTGACGAATACTGGGTGGCCGCCATTCGAATAACGAACACGAGGTCGCGGCCATTTTAAACACGCTAACGCACAGCGGTGTTCGACGCTTAATTCATGGAACTAAAAACGGACACAGTTTGGCGCGAACACCGCTGAAGCCGCCGACCTCCCTTCTTGTTCGGTGGAAGTACACGAACGGCCCGGTATTCGGTAGTTGTACCTGACTGCACTATACCCCAGATAGGAATCCCATGGAGCTCATTCGTATGAGAACTGACTTTGTAAAGACTTTGGCTCCATGGCGATTAAACTGTATTCGTGTGGTCTGAGCGCCATTCGCTTAATAATGTGCGCTGAGACCTGAGCTATCTGGGGATATGTTAAATGTATAGTTTTATTGTAACTTGTGTCACATAATGTATTTTAATAGTAATTCTTATTTTAGTATCCCCACTAATGCATAATGGCGATTTGCCTTTGTCCTGGGAGATAATTGAATTACTTCTCAATTATCTCCAGGGCAGAGGGGAGGAAGCCAGGATGCATTGTGGGAATATAATGTGACTGTGTGTCCTGTATGGCTGATTGTCTGTCTTTTGTCACAGTCTCCCATTTGGCCCCCTAGGGGAGTGTCCACCAGGTGGGAGACCTGCATAAATACTGGGCCGGTAGCCCTCATTAAACAGACCACTGCTTGACCCACAACACAGAGCCTTGTCTCGTCTTTGGGGGGATTTACTGAATGCTGATAGAGACTGATTGCTAGGAGTGTAAGCCACTGGGTGCTTTTCCTATTCGTCTGCTAGCAGCAATTCGTATGGTTCCAGTTCGTGAGTTTGGAGTGTTTTATATTTTATGCCGTTCTGAAAGGGGACGATTGCCTAAACGGTTTTAACCCCTTGTGTGCAAAATGGTCCATTACAGTGACACTTGGAATATAAGTTACAGATTGTTTTGAACCCCCACAATCATTTCTGCCAATCGGATTGGTTGTGCGGTTTAAAGGGATGCTCTAGGGCAGGGGAAGGCAACCTTTGGCACTCCAGATGTTGTGGACTACATCCCCCATAATGCTCTTACACCCATAATGCTGGCAAAGCATCATGGGAGGTGTAGTCCAAAACATCTGCAGTGCTGAAGGTTGCCTATGCCTGCTCTAGGGCTTTGTATTGCAGTGATTTGTTTACAAAAAAAAAAAAGAAAGAAAATAATACTTTTCAGAGATGTCAAACAGTCGGGCCAGAGTTCCAATCAATAGAATGAGCACCATAACATTAGGTAATATTTATTAATCAGGTGCTTTTTTGTTAAAGACTATGAGTGTCTATAACTTTCAATCCCCTTATGTTACTCCAACCCTTAAAACTATTTGGTTTATAAATTACAATGCAGTATGGGGAATAACCATTATCCCATCCACCCTTCAAACCTGTATAAAGGTTTTAAAACTTACCTCACATCAAGTGCCCGCTGTGTTTCACGCCCCATCCAATAACAGGCTCAGTTTCACCAGCTCAGAGTACATGAGCAGAGAAAGGGTAAGAGGGATATTTAATTTAAAAAAAATATTAAAAGACTATTCTAGAAGTAGTGGGAGCATCCACATGGAGGGAGGAGAAGTGATCTTTCCTTAGCAGGTGCCCTGCCTGCGAGGGAGAAGATTTGTCGGTCTGTTGTCCGCGCACAGTGCACGCTGACAACACACACAAAATATGCACAAAACTGACAGGTTATCCAGAACAGAATCTCTGCTTAAAGCAGCACTGTCATGCCAAATTTACCTTTCTTTAATCGATTCCTCTTCTCTCCCTCTGTCAGGATCTGTTCTTCATTTCTTCCTGTCTGCTCTAGTTTTCTTTAAAACATAACACAAAGTAGGGACTACTTTGTCTTATGGAGGTTTCCTACACTTGACCAGCGCAGGAGTAAAGTGTGCTTCGTTTCCAGTGATCAATTTTCCCACAATTCTCACCTTTGATTCGTGATCTCACGATACTTCCTGTCACTTAGAATGCTGGCGAAACTACCGATTTTCGTCCTAACAGAATGAGAACAGTTTCTCCATTAGTGTTAGGACACAATTCGGGACTTAGTTTGGATCGGAATTTCATTCGAATGAATGAAACTCTGATCCTATTCATGCCGCTTAGTAGATAGCTCCCTAATCTAGGGTGGTGGGTGGTGGCCCTAACCAAAAATGTCCCCCGTACCCCCCAGTCCCCACCCATAAGCGGCAGATGGGGGCCCTAAGTGAAAATTTTAATCCCCCCAGGTGACTAGGTTTCCACGTGTCACCCCCTACCCCAAATAAATTAATAAACCTCTACCTATCCCCGTCACCCTAAAAATAGTGAGTTGGGAACAAGAGAACTAAATATCTGTAAAAACTAAATAAAACTTACCATTTGATGTCTTCTTTTTTTCTAAAATCTTTTTTCAGCCCCAAATAAAAGTCCATAATACCCGTCGCACATTAAAATAAAAAACCTGAGCACAAAAAAAAATAACCAGACGCTAAAAACTAATCCATCTTCACTCATGGAGGGCATGGGGCAGAATGCTCTCCGCAGGGCGGGGAAAGGCTTATAAAGGGGCTCAGAGGTCTCTGATTGGTTGGTTTAAGCCAACCAATCAGAGTGCTCTGACAGGTAAATGAAGAGACTGACAGATAAGTCTCTAAATTTACATGTCACAGCACTCTGGTTGGCTTGAAATCCAACCAATCAGAGTGCTCTGTGTAAATTTACATAGCGTGGGAATTTTCCCATGCTGTGTAATTTGACTCATAACTCTCTGATTGGTTGCTTGATAGCAATCAATCAGAGTGTTGTTATGAGTCAAATTACACAGCATGGAAAAATTCCAAAGAACTTTCCCACGCTATGTAAATTTACACAGAGCACTCTGATTGGTTGGATTTCAAGCCAACCAATCAGAGTGCTGTGACAGGTAAATTTAGAGACCAATCAGAGCGCTCTGAGCCTAATTCCAGAGTGTGGGAAGGCTTTATAAGCCTTTCCCTGCCCTGCAGAGCTCATTCTGCGCCGTGCCCTCCATGGGTGAAGATGGATTATTTTTTTAGCGTCAGGGGTGGGGGTCGGTGGGAGAACATTGGTCCCCCTCCTCATTGTTATTTAGGGCCACCCGCCCCCAGTGGTTGGGGCCGGGGGGAGGACACTAGGTTCCCCCCCCCTTTATTGTAATTTAGGGCCACCGCTCAGGGTTGGGGGACCCCCATTTTTATTTAGGGCCCCTACCCGCCGCTCAGGAGTGGGGGCTGGGGGGAGGACAATAGGTCCCCCCCCCCACATTTTCATTTAGGGCCCTCATGGGTGGGGGCCGGGGGGAGCAATAGGTCCCACGTTCAGTTTAATAGCCCCCACTCGCGCTGTACGGGGGGGGACACTTTTTTTTTTTTTTTTAACAGTGAGCAGCCACTGGCTACTCACTGTTTACTAGACATGCCCCTACTCGCGGTATAGCAAGTAGGGGCAGAATTTACTAACCCTAAGTAATCTTTACTTAGTATTAGTAAATTTGGCTGAAATTTTAGTAGATAGCTCCCTAATTGCTATCTACTAAGCGGCTGCAAGATGCAGCCGCAGCATAAATAGGATCAGAGTTTTCATTCGAATGAAATTCCGATCCGAACAAAATCCCGAATTGCGTCCTAACACGAATGAAGAAACTGTTCTCATTCTGTTAGGACGAAATTCGGTAATTTCGCCAGCGTTCTAAGTGACAGGACGTTCGGGAATACTGACAGGAAGCATTGCAATATCACGGATCAAAGGTGAGAATTGTAGGAAAATTGCTTTGATCACCGGAAACGAAGCACACTTTGCTCTTCCGCTGGTCAAGCGTAGGAAACCTCCAGAAAAGAAATAGTCCCTACTTTGTCTTATGTTTTAAAGAAAACTAGAGCAGACAGGAAGAAATGAAGAACAGATCCTGACAGAGGGAGGCATTTACCATCGGATGCTGCAAGATATGTCTTTATTTCCAAATACTTTACTCCAGTGCCATGCATTGCATGAACTATAGGATTAATTACCATTTTACCTGTCCACCTAATAGAAAAAAAGTAGGCCATGAACTACACACTTGACTCTTTTACAAGAGATAGACATATATTGACACCAACATATATGACAAAACTGCTATTCATTTTCAGAGAAACACTTCTCTCTAATAGACTATTTCTATGAGACTATGCTGGTTAATCAATGTTTCCTAAGACGAGTTATTGGAATGTTATCACAAATGCTTGTTGTGCAATGGCTATAGATTTGCATTGCTTCGGCATTCTAAGTATTGCTTGCAGTTTTGATATATTTAGGCAGCCTATAAATGTGTTTCCTCTGAGCATTCTAAATGAGTGGGAAATGGAAATGAGCAGCAGAACCAGGCCAAGTAGCTGGGCTGCCAAATGCTTGGCAGGGAACCTTTTTCCATTTAGAAGGAATGAAAGGATGGCCGGCTGAAATCAAACTACACACAGCATATTATAAACAGATATTTCATAACAAGGGCTAAATACGGGCCAACCGCAGTCCTCTATCATGCACATGCAGGATTATTTGCCAAGTCATGAGCGAGGTTATGAAAGGGTTAATGGCGCCTAGCTACTGGCTAACTACCCAAATTTTTAAAGCACGGCCTGAAAAGTTACAACAACCGCCAGGATGTCATAACTCATTTCAATGAACAAGACTTTCTATTGGGTGTCTTACACTGTTAAAGGGATTGTCTATTCAACATCTGAAACCATATTTCTTAATACATTACAGAAATAATAGCTAGGCTAACCCCTCCACTAACTAGGATAAAACGCTTTAATCAGGAATATCCATATGATGATTTAAAAAAAACTGATGTAGCAATCATACTGCAACTCTAGGTTTATACACAACCCTGTACATTGTTTAGTGCATTGCGCTGTGGATCTCTCAAAGCACATTTCACAGCCCAGCTCTCTCTACTGGGAGGAAAGCCTCCCTCTCTATGTTTGTGGTGTGTATGCACGTGGCACCCACAATATTTGGGGTAAAAAACAACCTGCAATTTATATTCCAAGTGTCACACTCTGCAATGTGGGAGTGACCAACTAGAGGGGGGCACACAGAGCCCCTTCTCCCACCAGTCACTCAGTGTAACATGGTCTATCGTCTACACCAGGGAACCTTTTTTCTGCCAAGGGCCATGGATATTTTTAACATCATTCGCGGGCCACACAAAATTATCAACTTAAAATTTTGTCTGCTATATTTGGTCAAACATTTAATTAACTCACCCCTAATGTGATGGCTGTAACTGCTTCTCTTTGGGAGGCATGTGATGTTGCTACTAGCAACTGCTTTTTCAAGTTAGCGTCTGTCAGTTGACTCTTTGCAATGCTCACTACAGACAAGCTCACTGACACATATGCTCACTAATAACAAGATCACTGAGACACATGCTCACTAATAACAAGCTCACTGAGACACACATGCTTATTACTAACAAGCTCACTGACACATGCCTATTACTAACAAGCTCACCGACACATGCTCACTACAGACAAGCTCACTGACACATGCTTATTACTAATAAGCTCACTGACACATACTCACTACAGACAAGCTCACTCACACACATGCTCACTAATAACAAGTTCACTCACACACACATTCTCATTACCAACAAGATCACTGACACAAGCTCACTACAGACAAGCTCACGGACGCCACCTTATTCACTACTAACAAGATCACTGACACAAGCTCACTACAGACAAGCTCACGGACGCCACCTTATTCACTACTAACAAAATCACTGACACAAGTTCACTACAGAAAGCTCACTGACATGTGCTCACTACAGACAAGCTCACTGACACACACACACTCACTACAGACAAGCTCACTCTCATGTGTTGCTGAGTAAGCCTACCTGGCACTGAGAGGTAAAGTACCCACTTTCCAGCCTCTTCCTGTCGGCGAGGTGAGCTGCTTGAGTCTGGGGGGCAATGCTTGAGTGCAGAGTAGAGCGGGAGAGGCACAGAAAGCTCCCTCCTGCAGCTGTAATGTGGCTGCACCAGCACCTCCCTTCCAATTCCCTTGGACGCTCACTTACAGTCCAAGAGGAAAAATTATTTAAATGTCATTAGGGCTATTGCATTTCGAGTCCGGTCTGTGATTGTTTTGGCAGGGTTAGATCAAATGATTTTGCTGGCCTTATACGAACCGTGGGCCGGATGTTCCCCACCTCTGGTCTACACGGTCTGACAGGATGTGGGTCTCTTTGAGCAGCAATCAGCTTCCTGTCTGACCAGGTAGACAATAAAGAAGATCCTCTACTGCAGCCTGCCATGTCACACAGGAGATAAGTCGTATAATCAAAGCTGGAAGTGCACTCAGCTCCTCACTAGGGAATCCAGGGTGCTCTTGAAAAAGTCCCAGTACCCAGAAGGACCAACATGGATAAATTTGTAGAAAATGATCAAGGCACTCCAATAGTTTCCAATTCTTAAGGCAATTTATTTGGACCAGGAACTACAAAGCAACGTTTCAGCCCCAACAGGGCTTTTTTCAAGCTGAAACGTTGTTGGGGCTGAAACGTTGCTTTGTAGTTCCTGGTCCAAATAAATTGCCTTAAGAATTGGAAACTATTGGAGTGCCTTGATCATTTTCTACAAATTTACACAGGACATAAGTGAGATAAGTGAGGGAAACTAGTTAATTTCTAGCTAAACTACATGGGTGTGTCTTTTGTTTACTCATTGAGCACTGGCATCACAAAGGAGAGTTTCCAGTGATTTCTTCGTGACGAGGTGCCTACTCCCTTGATATAGTCAGTGGGCACAGGGCCAGACAGGGAGATCTTTTTTATTTCCTTACCGGCTTGAGTATGCAGGGTGTAGAGCAGGTTCTTTAACCAAATGCCAAATGGTTAGCGCTGGCCGTGGTTGTCAAACAAAATATAATTTTTTTTTTGGCCATCCCATTCATGTTATATGACATAAGAAGAGAGTTGTACACCTTCCAGTCTAACATATAATAGCAGACTGGTGCAAAAATCTGTTTTGGAAAGTTTGTCTGCATCAAATTCCTTTTAATCCACACTCGGACAAAATAGATCATCCAGGATTTTACCTGTGGAGTCTTCTTTATTTACTGATATGTGAATCTATTGAGTATTTTTTTTCTTTTCTTGAGCTTGATGGTTGAAACGTATAATTAAAGCTGTGTAAGTGCTCCTCCACATATTTATTTTTTATTTTATTCATAATTTAATGTTGTGTTAGGGCTACATACAAAATATTAAAAGAAAGCCATTTGTGTCATTTAAAAGGCAATATATAATATGAGTACACTTAAAGAGAAACCCTTAAAAGGGAAATGCAATAACCATTTAATCTCATTGAATTAGTTATAGTGCCTGGGGTCCTTTGGCACTATTCCTTTATTTCGTTTTAAACCGTTTTAGAGCAGTTTTAGAGTAAATGAGGGTACCTTGCTTATCATAGCCCTGCCCTCACTTAAGGTGTGGCTCCAGTGAGGGCAGGGCTTCCTTATAGCTATAACTATTCATACCTGAATGAGCAGTGTGATATGCTTAAAGTAGGCAGCTAACACCAGTGACCTTCTTTGGACCAATATTGAGTAGCTGTCATGTTTTCGTATGTCCAATTTAAAGTTACTTTGATTAGCTATTTATAAGCAGGGATGTAGATTTTCATGAGCAGTTTATCATAATGTTGGCTGAGATTAATATATGGTTGAGCACCGCTATAGATTGTTTTGGTAATTCACTGGGTAACAAGAACACTAAGCATATTTCTGGGGATGGTGCAAAAGTGACAGTCAATGCAGAGGATTTAGGTTTTGTGATCACGGGCCAATAAGGTGTAATGTTGGGTCATGGGCACCATGCGTACAACATTGTCCCCACAGTAACCATAGCAGTCCTGAAGGACCTTCTAGCAGACCTGCACAAAAAAATATATATCGGCAGACGTGTAACAGACAGGATAAGCACGCTGGAGCATACCTCTCACACTGGCACCCAGCAGATAGCATCATTCCAGCAAGCAGTTAAGGAATTGCAACAACAAAACCAAGCTTATGAGCACCATTTTGCAGCCCAAGAAGATGCCCGGCACTGAAATAACTTCAAAATAAGAGTCTCAGAGGCTGTTTCAGAAGCTGAACTGCCACACTTTGCTAGCCATCTACTGGTGGCCTTGCTGACACCAAGGATCACCAATACAGTGGCGGAACTCACCGGTCTGTTCCGCGTGCCCCAACCAGCCAGAGCACCATCCACTGCCTCAAGAGACCTTGTAGTTCAATTTCAAAAAGGCAAAGACAAAGCAGCGGTATTGTCTGCCATTAGGGACAGTCTCCTTATCATTTCGAAGAGAAGGATTTGACCTTCTATACAGACCTCGGGCAGCACTCTGGCATGGAGGCGCTCAATTCAACCATTCACCACCCTCCTACAAAAGCATAATATTGATGGGGCAACAGGAAATGAGATGGATCTTTGACCTTAATACTATGACTCCCACTGGTCTTAACAGTGATTTTGAAATGTGTCATTTTTTGTAATATCACTTTAAGTAGTATATGTATTTTATGTGTTTATTTTTATCATGTTATTTTAATTAAGATAATAATAATAGTTATTAATAATAGTTATAGTACTAATATATGATTGCATATTTAGCAATAATCAGGAACTATATGCTCCAGAGAAGTTTTTTTATGTATCTAGATTAATGTTTTTTAACCGAGTGATTCATACTGAATGAGGCACATAGGGAGAGAGACGAACACGATCTAGTAGTGTTCTGTCTCTTTTCCCACACTATTGCCCACAAATAAAATGGCGACCGCGAGTACCGGAAATGACGCGGCGATGTGCCTGACGTCACTTCCGGTTACGGCCGTAAACAAAACAGAAACCATATACAGAATTCTTCAAGCAATATGATTGGTTAATTGCCGGGACTATACACCAATAGGAATACAGACCGGGACATTTAAACCGGGACACGAACCAGAGCAGCACATACCCGATTGAAAAAGCCCTCAGGTAGGGCGAAACGCGTCTCGGAAAGAGGAGGACATTTATGGGACATTTTTTATTCTATTTTTATTCTCTTGTTTAATTTTTTATATTTTACACTCTCTTGCCAGTGGGCATAATAAATTACTATTTTTTTCACTAAAAGTTCCTATTTACCTCCATTGAAGCTGCTCCAAGAAGGGTTGGTGTCTCCCTTAGTTTGACACTAATGCTGGAAAAATAGAGCCAATATTGGGGCTCAAAACAAGGTGAGCGTTCATTTGTTTACATTATTAATTCACCTTGATTAGAAGTTACTACACTATATTGTTTTTCCCTTTGTAAATTTTATTTCTGAGGAAATTTATCTACGTGTTCGTAAGAAAAGGGACAGTACCACCAGACGGTACCACAAAGCGCAAGTGACCTGAGCCTATCCTTATCTGGGCTCTGTAAAACGTGAGTTGGCACTTCTCAAGATCAATATATAATTTTTATAAGGTTATACAGATTTACACTATTATTTTGTATGTGTTTTTCTTTTTACTGCGTATGTATCGAAATTGCAAGTGATCTTTACAACATTAGGACCAGATGACCCTTTAAGTTGGGTAGGTGCCTGCGATTATCACTTTATGCTCCACTCATTTAGGTGAATTGCTTCTGGTCTCTTTACCTTTTTCTATAATTCTCATAATATTAGATATTGGTGGCGCTTCTCCCAAGCCATGACAGTCTTCCACGGGGATACAACACACACGATCCAGGATCTCTATGAGAGCAAGACTCTCCTACAAAGTCTGGGACTGCTATCTGACTCTCTGAGCCAACAGGATCAGATCATATCCCAAGAAACTGCACAACTGGGACCCGGCGGGAGCAGCCACGTTTGTTCCAAGATCGTCCACACCGGACTCTTATGTCTTAGCCACAACCTGAACGAAGGACAGGAAACACTGAACTTAGCTCAATATGTGATCCCCACCGTTTACCAGTTAGACACAGATAGTTTAGCGTAAAGAATGTTATGTTTTGCTATACCAGGGCAGTAGCCTTTTTTCTCAGATCGAATAGTTCATAACCATAAACCCCCCTCAGAGCCTGGAGGTAACAGAGGCGAAGGAGTGTGCTTAACCCATAGTTTAGAATGGGCCCAAGCGTATGCTGCCTAAGTATGAATGCACAGTGCACACTTCATAAGCTTGAATAAGCCTGCCAATGAGCACTTCCGTTGTTTTCATTTTACTTGTTAAATACAGTAATCATTGTTAAATTATTTCATTACTGAATTAAAGACTTTAAAATAAAAAAAAAATGTATTTAGCAAATGTATTACTTATAACCAATTGGGAGTTTACTTTTTCGCCTGTGGCGGAGAATAGGAACGGAATTTGTTCAAACTTGTGCTAATATCTTGCTAACTCTGTTTCTGTGTGTATAGTGGGTGGAATGTAGTCTCCTTAAACAAAACAAAACCACAAACTTAGATTGTAGTCATTTATTTGTTTGCCCACAGATGCCATTTCATTCTGAAGGGTATGCAATTTAGATTTTTCTTGTTAAGATCATATAGTGTCTTATGCCACGAGGTTAATTGAACTTGTGAGGTATGTTTTAATTTAGAGTGCTTGTGCACCATCCATAAAGTATCTGGTGCTATGTCATGGTACGTGTCAAAGTATTGTTTTATAGGACTCTAGAGTGTTTGTATAGACAGGGTCATATAAGCAAGATTCATTAAGCCCCCAAGGGCTTGTTTGTTTATAATAATAGTAGTCTTTTAATGTGAGAATGAGGGGAACATGGTCCAACCAGGAAATTATACCTATAGAGCAGCCCGATATGTATGCCAGTCATTAAAAAAAACATCTGTGCACAAGTACATGTAATGGACATGACAGAAGTGTGTAGGTTCCTTCCCCGGGTGAAGAACCCTCTCGATGTCATAAGTAATTTTTTTCCAATAACTTTGTGAAAGTTTTGCATCAACAAAATGTTCTGTCCAAAATATAGACATATGGTCCCAAGTATGCAATATTTTCCTAAACATCCCCTAGGAACCTGTGTAGTAAAGGATTTCCATATCAATACCCAGGAATCAAAATCATACAATAAATAAAGAAAAATCCTAACAAACAATGTAAATAAAAATTTCTTGAAAAATATATAATACTTGCTGGGACCAGAGAGATTAAGGTGTGAGTCCAAATCACTGGTGTCTGTCTCAGGCTTGTGGCTCCAGTGTTTCACTCTCTTCCACTCAGGAGATAGGTGTGGGGAGGCAGAGGATTTTCTGTTTGACTGTGGTAGTGAAATTCCCCAGTTTCGGAGCACCTATGTGTCTTCATCGGGCAGGGAGATTGGTGTCAGAGTACCATTTCTACGGATTAACAGTTTTAACAGTTAACATCTCTTGAAACCTCAGCAGGTAGAAATGTTGGCTTTATACTATGTATGGGATTAACTAGAAGCATCTGTAATTAGGTATGGAACTAGCCACTCACAAATTTATAAAGGTCAGACAGCTAAGATTCTAATCTAAAATGTTGATGTGACCGGTCTTCTAGTTACATGAGTTTAAGTTAGTATGCCTCCAATTGTGCCTCCATGGTGTCGTGGGTGTCACGAATGCACCCTACTTCAAGAGTGTGCGTGACATAGTTGTGGTGGTGAAAGGGTTAAGGTTCACTATTTATCTGCACTCAGGGCCGCCATCAGGGCAAGACAACTGTGACAATTGTCACGGGCCCTGCGGCCCTGGGGGGCCCGGCCACCCGGGCCCCACGTGGATCAGCGGAACTGCCGCCGGTGCATCTGCACCGGGGCCCATACGCTGATGATGAGGTGTATGCCAGTGTGTGTATGCCTATGTATGTATGCAAGTGTGTGTATGTATGTGTGTATGCCAGTGTGTGTATGCCAGTGTATGTATGTATGTATGCCAGTGTATGTATGTCAGTGTGTATGTATGCCAGTGTATGTATGTCAGTGTGTGTGTGTATGTATGTGTGTATGTATGCCAGTGTGTGTATGTGTGTATGTATGCCAGTGTGTGTATGTATGTATGCCAGTGTGTGTATACCAGTTTATGTATGCCAGTGTATGTATGTCAGTGTATGTATGTGTGTATGCCAGTGTATGTATGTCAGTGTGTGTATGTATGTGTGTATGTATGTATGCCAGTGTATGTATGTGTGTATGCCAGTGTGTGTATGTCAGTGTGTGTATGTATGTGTGTATGCCAGTGTGTGTATGTATGTATGCCAGTGTATGTATGTGTGTATGCCAGTGTGTATGTGTATGCCAGTGTGTGTATGCTAGTGTGTATGTATGTGTGTATGCCAGTGTATGTGTGTATGTATGCCAGTGTGTGTATGCAAATGTGTGTATGTATGTGTGTATGCCAGTGTGTATGTATGCCAGTGTATGTATGTATTGTGACAGAAAGCAAGGAATTGTGCTGGAAGGAACCTATATACCTCCCCAGATTTTGCAAGGTTCTTACTTTGTGTAATTAGCCCCAGGGAAATGTGTTATGTTCTAATGAATGTTGCACTTTAAATATGTGTATATTTGGGCCCTGGGGTTGAGCACCTGGAGAGTAGGGTGGGCCAGTGCTCCACTCCACATTTTGGAAGTTGCTTGGTGAGAAGTCCAGTTCTGGAGTTTGAATCCTAATCTAACTCACCTGAAAAGGATTGGCAATTACCAGTGCTATTAAGTACTCCCCTGCCAAGGAAGAAGGGAGATTGTGTTTGGTTTCTGTGAGTGGAAACAGAGAGCTGAAAACCCTGAAGCAGTAAGGCTGTTTATGTTTATGTTTATGTTTATGTTTATGTTTATGTTTATGTTTATGTTGGGAAATGGACAAGCCATCCAACCCAGTTAGTTGATTATTTTGTTTAGTTAGTGCTCAGAAGAGCAAGGCTTTTGTTTGATATATTTTTGTTACCTTTATACCTTACTGTGCATTTATTTTGGAACCTCAATAAAAGAGCAAGTCAGTTTACCTCATCCAGCGTGTGAAGTGTCTCTAAAGCCTGAAAAGACTGTGTGTAACACCCCAATCCCAGGACAAGGTACCAAGGGAAAGGAGTACTTTTGTCACAGTATGTATGTATGCCAGTGTATGTATGTATGCCAGTGTGTGTATGTATACCACTTTATGTATGCCAGTGTATGTATGTATATATGCCAGTGTGTATGCCAGTGTATGTATGTGTGTATGCCAGTGTGTATGTGTATGCCAGTGTGTGTGTATGTGTGTCAGTGTATGTGTATGTGTGCCAGTGTATGTGTGCCAGTGTTTATGTATGCCAGTGTGTATGCCAGTGTATGTGTATGTATGCCAGTGTATGTGTGTATGTATGCCAGTGTATGTGTGTATGTATGCAGGGGAATGTGTGTATGCCAGTGTATGCATGCCTGTGTATGTGTGTATGTATGCCAGTACATGTGTATGCCAGTGTAGGCGTGTATGTATGCCAGTGCGTGTATGCTAGTGTGTGTATGCCAGTGTGTGTCTGTATGTATGCATGCCTGTGTGTGTCTGTATGTATGCCTGTCAGTATGTATGTATATATCAGTATGCAGTATGTGTATGTATATGTATGTTTGTCAGTATGTATGTCTGCATGTATATGTGTGTGTCAGTATCTCCCTATGCATGTGTGTATGTCTGTTTCAGTATTTGTATCTGTTAGTGTGTGTGTTTTCCTGTGGGCGGGATTTGGAGGCGGGCTTGAAGGGGGGCCCAGACCTTGAGCTGTGTTAGGGGCCCCAAAATTTCTGATGGCGGCCCTGCATACATACACTGACATACATACATACATACACACACTGGCATACATACATACACACACTTGCATACATACATAGGCATACACACACTGGCATACACCTCATCCCCAGCCACCCTCCTCTCTTCCTTACCATTTCGTCGCAGGAAGGTGGCTGGGGATGATGGGCATCGGCTGCCTCTCCTCAGGCTGCGTCCTACTTCCCGCGCGGAGTAAAGTGGGAGGAAGTGACCGGACGTCACTTCCCCCCAGCAGCACTTGCTTCCGGCTGCATTTTTTTGCAATTTACATTTTTCTTTATTTTCCAAATTATTTCCAGTAAAGGAAAATGAACAAAAAACAAGGGGATACAGAAAAAAAAAGGGTTTGGGGTACAGTCGGTAGAGTTACATTATTTCATCATATACTCATCATACAATGTTATGTTATACTCATACTTCATTTAAATAAAATTCATAATGTATACGTCCTGACCGCATTTGTTTTGTTTTATTTTCCCTGATAAATACTGGTGTGTCCACTATAAAATTCACCTCAGGGAAATTTAACCGTTACAAAAAGAAAAGAAGGAAAAATAAATAAATAAATAAATAAATAAAATTAAAAAAAAAATAAAAAAAAATAAAAAAAAATAAAAAAATAATGAAAAAAATGTCTCTCTACTCCGGTCTTCATATGTTTAGATTAAACTGACAATAGAGGCTTATATTCAGTTTAGCTGCTTAATGTTGTTAAAATACATTAAGTTAAATTAAGTATTAAATTAAATTAAATGTCCTGCTTATTGTATATGCCTTAAATTATGTTCACACTTAACCAGGATAAAT